TGGCGATGCAGGCGGAATCCACGGAGGAGGTTATCCAGGCCTTCTCCGAAAGATGGCTTGGTTGCTTTCCCAAGCCGGAGATTGTGATCTTTGATGCAGCTTACAGTTTCGCATCGGAAAGAATGCATGAGTTCTTGTCTTCCGTGAACATCATGCCTCACTACGTGGCCGACAAGGAGAGTTGGGCGCATGGAGTTTCTGAAGCTGCAGTACAAGATGTGAAGCGAACAGCCGCAGCTATACATTTGGATGCGTTGGAACAACACCCATTTGTTACGCTGCAGCTCACTGTGTCAGCATTGAACTCCACGGAGTACACAGCAGGCTACTCGGCCTTTCAATGGGCCTATGGCCAGAACTACAGCATCACTGATGAGGATGTGCGGACGTTCTCTACTACAACTACGGACCAGAAGAGCGAGTTTGTTCAACTGGTGACCCAAAGACGTTGAAATCGAGGTCACAACGAATCCTTACGAAGTTGTCAAACAGCACGGTGCGACAGCCTATAAGGACGTTCAAGGAGATGGACCTGGTGAAGATTTGGCGCAAACTATGGCCACAAGAAATTCATCGAGGACCACGCGGTGGTTTCAAGATGTCAGGACGACCACATTGGATCGGTCCAGGAAGAGTTGTGTTTCATGAAGTCCTTCCTCAACAAGAACAGGGCGACCACAGAAGACACATCGTTTGGGTACTGATTGGCTCTCGGCTGTACCGGTGCTCAGTACACTCTGTGAGGCCAGTTACCGAAGTTGAGCGCTTTGCTTACGAGACATCAGGTCAAGAAGATGCGAGCAAATGGCGGACACTGGCTGATATGCTACCTCGACGAGAATACACCGACCTGACCAACAGCGAGCCAAACGAGGATGAAAGAGAACTTCCTGAACTACCACCGCGACCGGATGCTACAATGCTACAACAACCGTGACGCCGACGAGACGCCTTGCAAGGAAAACCACAGTGACAGCTACTCCCTCTACTGACCCAGCGCCTATTATGCCACAAATACCAGAAGATGAAGAGGAGGATGAACCACCGACAGCCACCAAACAGCAAGCCGAGACGGATGTCAATCAGTACAATCCCGGCGAGACAAAACGGGCCAAGGTGGACACCAACTGGGTGGAGCTACTTCACAAGGAGGCGGCGCAGGAGGAAAAGTTTGACCTCTACGATGCCATGGAAGAGGCCGAGGTGTTTCTCAAGGTGGAGTTTGACTTGGAACCACCAACTTCGAATCGACAAAGGAAGATGCTTGAAGGAAACCCTCAGGCCTACTTGGTGAAGAAGATGAAGGATTCTGAGGTTGTTTTGGCCAAGTTACCAGGTCATGAAAAGGCACTATTCAACGTCACTATTCACAAGAGCCAAGGCGAAAGAAGTTGACTCCTTTGTCAAAAATGAAGCCGTCAGAAATTGCCTCGATGACAAGGAGATCCGGGAGGCCTACGACACGAAGCGCATCGTCAAGGCAAGATGGGTCCTTACATGGAAGCTAGTTCCTCCTGAAGATCAAGATGAAGCAAGACAGGACGCTGTAATCAATAAAGACACCGTACACACCAAGGACGGGAAACGCAAGGCAAAGGCAAGAATTGTTTTGTTGGGCTTTCAACACCCCAACTTACTTGTTCCCTCCTTCAAGACGGCGAGCCCTGTGCAGAGTTCCTTGGGACGTAACTTGTTGTACACCATGGCTGCTCAACATCAATGGTCATTGGAAGGTTTGGATCTGGCCACTGCATTCTTGCAGACGCAACCTACAGCAGCAGATGAGAAGTTGTGGACAACAGGTGTTCAAGAACTACGGGACGCCCTAAATGTCGGAGATGAGGCAATTCTTCGGATACTCCGAAACATGTATGGAAGCACAACGGCACCACGTGGGTTGTGGCTGGACCTACACAAGACATTGTCAAAACTCCGTGCAGAACCAGTACTAGGCGAAAGATGTCTTTGGCGATGGACTTCCAAGGAACGAGTGGATCACAGTCCACATGAGCATCCTCTCACCATTGGAGCAATGGGAGGACATGTAGATGATTTTCACCGGATTGGTGATGATTCCGAGGAGTGGTTACGAATCAAGGAGGCCATCAACAATGCCTACAAGTGGGGTACTGCCAAAACAGGTGCCTACCGACATGCTGGCACGGATGTGCAAACGGTCAAGGACGAGTACGGCTTCGACCGGATCTACGTGAGCCAGGACTACTATGTGGAGACGATCCAAGACGTGGACATTGATCCGGACCGACTGCGCGGAGACGTCGGTTTGACCTAGAAGGAGATTGAGGCTTGTCGTACAAGTCTGGGAGTTCTACAATGGGTTGCCGTGCAGTCACAGCCTCAAATCTGTGCGCGGTGCAATCTTTTGCTAACCGATCTGGTTACAAACCCCAGAATGGAGACGGCAAGAGAAATCCAGGAGGTCATTTGTGAACTACGTCGTGAACCCTTCAAACTGTGCTTTCAGAAATTTGTGACTGTGAAACATTGGTCGCAACTGGTCACAGTGAGCATGGGAGACCAGGCACACAATAATCGTCCAAAGGGTGATTCCACGGGAGGACTGATTACACTGGTTGCCGGACCAGAATGTCAATCAGGACAAGTTTGCCCCATGAACCTCATTGCCTGGAGAAAATGGAAGCTGAAGAGGAAATCTATCAGCAGCAATGATGCAGAAGTTCAAGCTGTTCTGGAGGCCGAGGACAACAACTTTCGGGCAAGACTCCTATGGAGTGAACTTCATGGTGCAGGTGGTTTGGACCGAGACCGTGCTCTACGCAAGGACCCAGTGGATACCACCGAGCAGCAGGTCATGATTGTGAAAGGTATCGTGTGCACTGATAGCAATGGTGGCTATGACGCAGTGGAAGTCAACGAGTCGCCATTGCTGGGATTGAGCAACATGCGATCAGCCCTTCAGGCTTTTCAGCTTCGAGGGAATCTCTCAAGAACGGCATGCTTGCTGTGGTGGCTGGCTTCGGACTACGACCTGGCCGACGCGCTGACCAAGAAGCGAGCTGACTGCCGGATAGGCTTGATAAAGTTTCTTCGTACAGGGCACTGGTGCATACGATATGATCCTGCTTTTACAAGTGCCAAAAAGGCCAAACGTCAAGGCCACACTGCTGTCGACAGCGTAGACCGTCATCTGTACAGCGATACTCCGTCATCACTGACTTCCTTTAGGGTTGGTGCAACAGGTAACCCGCTGATCAGTGATGACTTGAGTGATGACATGTTAATGCTGTGGGCCCTGAGGTTCGAGCAGGGGCCCCTGTTCAGCAGAGACTCTTAGGTTTCGACCAGAGCCATCGGACTGTGCGCGGAGCACAAATAAGGGCGGAGCTGTGCGCTCCTACGTTTGACGGTTGTGACATTCTTCAGACTGCATTCTCTTGAGCCCAATCATCGTTACCAGTGCTGCTCCCGCTGCACAATCCGTAAATTGACTATTTACAAGTTTCCAACCCTCCAACTCCGGCCTGGGCCTCCAACCCTCCCCTCAGCCGTCTTCCCTCCCAACCCCTGAAGGCCCATGTTCGGCTCCTTGAGGCGAGGAAGGCAAAATGGATATTTTGGGGGCTCCGTGAAACAGGGTTTACCCATTTGCGGCCCATTCTGGCATTCGACAACGACAAAAGCTGAGAGGGGTTACGGGTGGGGTTGCTCAACCCAAAAACTGGCTGTTGCGACAAACAGTACTGCTTGCCGAACTATCGGAGCTCCCTGAGCACATCACTGCAATATTGTTTAAGATCTGGTGGTGTTGCCTTCGACGCAGAAAATGTACATTCGTCAAACAGAGCTCCCCCAGGCAAGCATCAAATGTCGGAAGTAATTGTGCACCAATCTTGTTTTTCGAGTGGCTCGATGACATGGTTTCTCCATAGAACTGGCAACGTCACAGATCAGAGTCATTGAAAAGTGCCCTAGCCTCTTTTTCCTGGTCCAGCACGTCGAAGACGGCACAATGACAGATGAGCCGAGTATGCCTGCAGGAGCCTTTGCATATGGCTTGATATAGCTTGGCGTTGCCCTTCACCAATCATGCACCTTGCGTTCTGCACCAATTCGACAAGTGCCGGAGAAGGTTGATCTGCATTTTCGTCCCAAGAACACGGGAATATCGGTTCATCTGCCTGCGATCTTCTGTTTTACCGACAATCGTCTGGTTCACTTGACGCGTTGTTGGATTCGACGGGTCTGGGTGCACCTCAGTGGGCTCAATTCTGCTACGGCGATTTTTATGAGCTATCCCAGTCCTAATTGTGGCTTACGTGCTTTTGGGGGCCCTGTTTGTGTTCAGTGCAGGTTTTCCGGAAGAGGCGGCAACCTGGAATGAGGCCAGCACGCAGGATTAAGCGAGAGCTTTACTTTACGATGCAACAATAACGAAGTGCTGAGCTTTAACGTCCTCACTGTTCTGATGTCAGGAGGTGCTTGAACGGGATGTGCTGACCATGGGTTTGGCGGATTGTTACCGGCTTCACTTGAAGTGCTGCTTTCCATGTCCCTCCAAACATCAGAGTCAACGGAGGGCCGTGCCCCCGGCACTCGCAGCAAGGGCCACAGAGATTAAGCTGCTGCCTGGAAGCCCCACCCAGACAAAGCCTTACATGTCTGTCCAGGAGTAGCCGAGGCCGCGAACTTACTCCTTGCTGTGTGATGTGCTATCTTGTCTCGACATGTCATCACTGGAGCTTTTGAGGTTGCAGCGCGGGATTAGCTTTTGCTCACGTGCAGTTGTCAGCTTGTCGAGGTGTCAGCAGGCGCCGACAGCGTCACAGAATCAGAAGGATGTTGTTTGCTTGTCGTGGAAGTCTCACACGGCCGCAAGTCCCATTCGGAACTATGTGCGTGTTTTCCCGCATTCGTATCTTCATATTATCTTAAGCAGAGCGAATTTGCCAAAATTACGGGTGGCAAGCTGTTGCTAATGCCTTCACTTGAGGCTGCGATGCTTATAGAGAAGTCAAAGGGCATAGAGCTCTGCCAACTGGCATAACAATCGCATAAATCCCAAAACTCAGGCTTGCCAATTCGCCATAGGGGGGAGAGAAGAAAGCCGCATGAAAGCTTCCTAGTACCAATTGGATCCTCTCTCTAGATGCTTCTAGCTGAAGGCCAGAAACCCTCAGTTGCACCGTCATGGCCAACACGGTCAGCCGGAGCCATTTTCTTGAGTCGAGATGGGTCAAGAGCCAAGCCCAAGATGCGTTCCAAACGGAGACACGCTTGGGCGAAATGGTTTTCCTGACTTAAGTAGTGCTCCGTGCAGGGCATCGAAATTTCTTGCGGACCGCGTGCGTGTTTCTGCCAAGTTGGAGGGTGTGTGCGTGTGTGTGTCTGCGTGTATGTACGGACTGGATCTTGTCAACCTGGTTCTGCATGTTCTGCGGCCGTCATGAGCACGTCGTAAACACCGCAACAGCTCCGGTGACAGCCATGCATCATGGCGTTGTCTGACCAGATTAGTAAGTCGCAAGCATGCGCTTTTGGAATGTGTTCTGGTGCAGAGTCACTGGTAGTTTGGGCCTTGCCTTGGTCCGCCTCATTTTTGCAAATAGAATCTGACCGGAGAATCGCCATATCAACAACATAACGCAGAAGCAGTAGCTGTACTTGTCCTGTAGGGTGAGACTTGGCCAGTAAAGTTCTCGAAGCTGCGCCACAGCTGTCTGGAGGCGGGAGTGCAGGGATTGCAGGATGCAAATTCCTGTGGAGGGTTGACGGTTGACTTTTGAAAGTAGTCCTGGGTTCCAAAAACAAGATCAGGTATTGACAGAAACGGCAGAGGAACACACCAGGACGGAAATGTGTTATGTGATGTTGTTGTTCTTAGTCTGCGTCTTTGCATTTCTATGTTTAACCTTGTGCCAAGATGCCGACAGGAAGCTTTAAAGGTTTCACGGAGTGGCCTTCCGGTGAAGAAAGGTGGAGTTCACTGGCTCTCCCAGCATAAACATCCGATCTTGCGTAATCAGTGCTCTCACAAGCTTACAGGATGCGGTAATTGGATGCCGATCATCACACAGGTACGAGTACAGCAGCAGCTTGATTGTGGTTGAACCAAGGATCCGCGTTCTGAAGACTGTCGTGTTGTTTGGGATTGCACTTCGCAGAACACCTTTCGAGCAGTTCCAGATTCCAATAGCCTCTGCAGGTGACAGCGCCATGAAGATCAGCCAGGAGTCGCCTGCTTTTATCGCATTGGTGCAGGCGCGGGGGTGTCCCACAACCTTATTGCGTCGTCTGATGCAGGCTTCATGTTTCGAAGCACGGCGAGCAGCGCGAGTGCGGAGGTTTCCAAGTTGTCACATTTGCCTCCAATTCTCTTTGTGCAAAACTTGTCCTTGGTACTACGTAGTATTGCACACATTCAGCGCACCATCCATGTCCGTTTGAATTTGGAATCAGAAGCAGCTCTAGCCAAGATACAGCAGGCGATGAGTTTATGGACGGCTGTCCTGGACTCAAGACGAAGCCCTCTCTGACTCTCTGACCTGTGTTCACTGTACAGGCCAGCGCTGGTGCAGCGGGCGCTGTCGTCGCCTCGTTCGTTCTGCAACCAGTGGAGGCGGACAGCTGCAGGGCTTTACTTCCGATAGACTTAGAGCGAACACATGAGAATCATGCAATTTTGATGTCTTGTGCTATACTGATTTACACAATCTCGTGTATCAACAGATTTCAAGGACTCCAAATCCCCAAGAACACTCCATGCTCAGTAGCTGGAGCGGATTCGCCCTCAGGTGGCCAAAACTCGGATCCAGATCAGTCACGGAGGCCTGCCTTTGCTGCGTACACATACTCAGCACTCCCTAGTGCCCGACGGACGCGTCCCTCCCGCATGTTCTACGGGGAGTCAAGGGTAGAGAGACAGAGCGGGGGACACGACCCTATGCAGCACTGTGTGCCACGAAATCCATGGCCGCGATGAAGCAGCTGGTCCTTGACATGATCGTAGAGTTTGGTTAGTCATTTTTCTTTGCTTGAAGCTTCAGGTTAGAAATAGGACCCAGCGAGCTGCGTTGCTGAATAAGCTGAAGGAATCCCCATAAATTTATGTAGTAAGTCATTTGAGCTTGTCTTCTCTGAAGAGCCTGATGTGTCATGCAAGTTTGAGGGGCAACCCTGTTCTGTTGCAAAGCTTTTACACGTCCTCACAAAGCCGCAGACATGAAGTGGGGCCCAAGTGGCCGGGGGATTTGACACTTTCCTCTGGCCTGGAGAAGAGAGAGAGAGAGAGAGAGAGAGAGAGAGAGAGTCCCCTCAAAGCCCCATAACACATGGGGGGCCCATGTGGCCGAAGGACCTGACAAGTCCCTTAAGCCCAGTGGAAGACAAGAGAGAGAGAGAGAGAGAAAGAGAGAGAGAGAGAGAGAAAGTGAGGGAGCGAGAGAGAGATAGAGAGAGAGAGAGAGGAAAAAGACAAAACACACACAAGTGCACCAAGTGAGGTATGGGGTAAAGGTGTAGGCGGTACCGTCCGTTTCACGCCGACTGTTGATCTGGACGCAGGACGTTTGGCCCCCTTCAGGCAAGGGGGGGGCGGGGTGGTGCAGGGGGTACACGTACCCTTGATCTTGAGCAAGCAAGAGAGAACAAATCAAACAACAACAAGAGAGCACCACGTTTTCAGCATGGCACCTGTCCCGCAAGCCACTTTGCACGAATTGACCGAGATCCAGAGTCGATGAAGCTCCGCACAGACCGGCACTCTCCCAGGCATGCGTGCATATGGTCACATGCATATGCATATATCCACGCGGCCACTCGCAGGCCCACCCGCCCAACCACTTCCCTGACTATGACCCTGCTGAAAATTTTAAAAGCGGTAACATGTTTCGCCGGCCGGCCAGCCAAGAGATCCAGTTGAGATGTCGCAGTTGCCGGTTCCGTGCAGTGCATCCTGCAGCTGACTGCCACTTGGCTGCTGCAGGAGATGACAGCACCATCGCAACCATGAGGCATATCGGTTGAGACTTTCGCAATAATCACAAGAAGCGCATGAGATGAGATGGCAGGTCTATGTGCTTCTTGCAATGACGCCTTGATTCTTGTGAACATGACCGCATGAGTCCGCGAATGTCCCGAAGTTTATCTCCTACATTTTCCGAGTTCAGGAACCTGGAAGCAATGCAGGAAGCTCGTCGAGGTGCAAATTTGACATGGCAGGCAGATAGCGAGAGGCCCGGCTGGCGAGTTCCAGCCTTGGAACCTTTGGATGGGAGCAGGTGGCAAATGCACCGAGACTCTTGGACCAAACAAAGCTTGCTGGATTCGGATTGCAGGCAATAAATCCCCAAAGGCCCCACCAGGCCATTTCAACTTGACTCCAATTCTACATGGCCAGAGGTTACAGGTCACGTCCGTTGAAGCCTTTCAGAGGCATATCATGTTGCCCAGCGCGGGGTAACGTGCCCTATACACTCACATTTATGCAGAAACAGTCCTCTTCAGCATTGAGCACAACTGTGAAGTTGTAGTCAATGAGACCCCAGCAGTCAAGAGCCAGTGCGCTGCAGCCGGCATGCGGAGAGACGGGGGAGTAAGACTGACCCCGATTCGTTTCCACAGACAACTTGCACATGTTATCTACCGAAACTTAACTTGAATAACCTAGTGGGGTCCTTGTCGGTGTCCGGAAAGGGGATTGCTTCTGAGACCATGTCCCGGTGACATTAGCAAGTGGTAGTTGCCATCCGCAATCCGGGCCGACTGGGCCTCGAGTTGTCGGAGTGAATGCAGCCTGATGCCAACGTTAAGCCTGAACGTTTTGTGTCGAACTCCCCGCCAGCCATTGAGGAATGGTGCCAAGAACTTTGCGTCAGGGCCTGATACTCGTACTTCTCATGTGTGTGGCCTCAGTCTGCTTGTTCCAGTCTTCTGCCGCGTTGCGTCCCATCCATGGCTTACATCTTACTATTAATCGTCCACATCCCCTCGTTCCCCCTGGTGTTGCACCCCAGAGCGGCAACGCCAAAACCCTAGGTATTTCTACATATACGATGGGATGAATGCCATTGTGAAGCAGTATATGGCGGTCACAACGGGTGTCCGTGCCTCAGGCAGAGGGCGGCCCAGCCAGTGGCTAGGCGGCTGAAATATCTAGAAATAACCTGAGGGGGCTGCATGCGCTAGACGCTAGACCCTCGGGACCGAGAAACCCTCATTTTGATGTCGGGCTTGTTTTCAACACGCTGTTTGAGCCTAGGTGAAGCTGATTCTTGGGTATGTTGCCGGAGTGGGTGTCCTGGCACAGATTCCTGAACGAGCGAGCCTGGTTCTGCATCGACCACATGCCTGTGACAGAAGAAGAGGAACCTGACCCACGGCAGCCTTTAGCACCTCGCAGATTCCACGATTCCAAGCACATGTAAGGGAACACGTTGATCAACATGCCGCTGGAAGTTGTGTCCACCAAGCTGCAGCTGGACGATGCCAAGGTGTCCCATCTGTCCGGAGTCTGTAGAGTTCTGACCCTGCAGATACACTCGGTTCAGCCCGACCCCGAAGTGATGCCAGGGCTTGGGAACCTTTGGGATGCTCCAGCGCATTCTGAACGAAGATGGCCCCCCAGCCGCAAAAAGGCCTTTGAAGGGTCCTTGCATGTGTTTCTGAACTGAATGCATCTTCGAGATGGTGTGCATGGTTTGGGTTCCCCGGCTCGTGAGTCCATGTTCGTCGTTGCGGCGGCCAGTTTTGGGGGCATGCTCTTGGGGATGGCGACAGTCAGGGGAAGTGGACCACGGGCACGGCACAACTCTCGTGAGTTTAGTCGCGCGTCACCTGTGGGAACATGTTGTTCACATCTTGGGAGCCGCGCCGTCGCCAAGGATTTGGTGCTTTGTACACCGGCCTTGGCTTCAACATTGTGTTGACCTCGGCATGTCTCCTGCGTGAGGAGTTGTATGCGTAGAAACCAAAGACAGATACAACTAAGTCGAGTATTAAATCGATTATTTCGTTGGCTGGTCACAGACAGCGAGGCCCTGTGCATCAACCCGGCGATTCAGAATACCATCTTGGAGCCTCGGAGAATTGGGTCTGGAAAGCTGGCGACGGACATGCTGTAGGGTGGCCGCAGACCTTAGAAAGAAGGGGTTGCGCCAGTTCTCCCCCCAGCATTTCGCTGGAGCTCAGATCGATGCGCCTTCTGGTTTCGAACCAGTCACCGCCTGTTTCACGAAGTTCACGTGTTCTCCACGAAGGATTGTTTTCAGTTGCTTACTTCCCGAGTTGATTCGTGATTAGTGAAACACTGTGACTTTGCCATTTCCCTCTAGCCTTGTGCCACGTGGAAGAGCCTCCCGGAGCAGCAGGCAACTAAGCAATAGTTTCTTTGCGGCAATGTCGCCGTCACTGTGCTGTCAAGGACAAGCTGAAAGAAGCCCTTCTCCGGCAAATGAAGCGCAGAAACCCTGAGGCGCTTGGAGACACCGACTCTCTGCGGTCCTGTCGCTTGAAGTTTGAAGAAAGCCAGAGGGAGTGAGAGAGCCTCCGTCTCGGACAGGCCTCTGTGCCCTGTGCCATAGGGAGAGATGAAGAGAAAGCGGTGTTGCATGAGCAGACCAGAACATTCCCACACAACAATGCTCATGCTGCTGCTCGCTCGACACCTATGCCTAAGGGCTGAAGCTCAACAAAACACTCAGACAACCAATTATGCAAGGAGGGGACAAGCAGGAGACCTGCCCGCACGCATTGGGTGGCATGTGTTTTCAACCCCCAAACTGCACTGACGGCATGCATGGATGATTGGCACTTGAACCTGGCAAGGTCGTTTGTAGCCAACTCTGGACTCAAAGACGATGGTGGGCGGTTGCAGTGGTGTCGTTCCGTCTTGACTGTAAAGGAGCAGGCGGCGACGGATATTGGAAGGCTAATCTGACAGAGTGATTCAAACTCGGCGATGAAGAGCAGGACTCTAGCCCGAGCAGAAAAGCACTCCGTCAATACGCCCATGCTTGTCATAGACTATTATCGTGGTGATGGTACAGGTGACTCCAGCTCTCTCGGCCTTTCAGGCTGCTTGGATCGCAAATCCTCCGAACGGTATTGTGAAGGGTCACTAGGAAGCGCCTCACGGGGCTTGGGCCGCTTTGGGTACCAGGATTGTGGAGAAAGCCCTTCCTAGGATCTGCTGCCAGTGGCTTGTTGTACTCCGTGATTTGAGGTGGACACGTGTTCGCAATGCTCATATTATATAGGTTTCGCAATGCACACGTGCGCACAGGTGAATGTTGTATATGTGTGTATGAAGGTAGGTGGGCAGGCACGCGTGTGTATGTATGTACCTACGTAGTAAACCTCGCCTGACCTCGTCGATTGCGAGTGCTAGAATGTACGTACGTATTTATGCATATATTCATGCATGTGTGCATGAATGTCATGCATGCTAATTCATACATCTGTATCTATATACATATACACATGGCATGCATACACGTAGATGGTGATGTATACACACTTCTACAAGTATGAGCGCGTGTTTCTTATTTTTACGGCCTGGGATTTGGGTGTCTAGCCCGCACAGCTGCAACCTCGGGACGACGTTGCCAGTTTTAACGGAGAATGCACAAACCTACCAAGCACTGCCGAGCGTTACTATCTCTATGCAATGGAGAGGGACCCTAAAGTTGGCCACCCACCGGGTCACTCGCACTAACACGAGGACAGCGGGGAAGCGGTGATGTTCAACAAGTCATAAAGGCGCATCCGCAGGTGCATCCGGCGTCACGCTAGTGCCGGCAAAGCCCCAACATACCACAGCATGGGGTAGGGGGCGATTTTGCCTGTCCTGGCTCGATGAGTGGGCATGCGCATAGCATCTTGTATCGAGGCATTCACTTTGGGCGCCTTTGCCAAAGCCGTGGCGACCGTTGTAACATATCCGCTGGTGCGACTGAAGACAAACCTGCCCCTCGGACGGATTTGGAAGCACCACTAATTGATGCGTCCATGCAAGCTTTGTTGGTTCTCGTGTTTTCTTGGGCATAGCACTTGTTGCTGTTCCTGATCCAGGCAAGCTGGGACGGCACCCCAACCGGCTGCTGAGCCACCGCAGCCGGTCATGTCCAGGACGGTTGAAGTGGGAGAGCGAGAGATGGGCGGGCTTTGTCGTGCAATATGTAGCAACGCTTAAAATGAACGAGAAAACCAGAGCAGAACAGAAATGCACAACAAATGCAAGTAGAACATAGTTACCTGTGTGTACAACATGTTTTGTTGATGGTTGCTTTCAGTCTGGTCGCATCCTTTCTTTCCTGCGGGTACGTCGTTTTAGTTCGAGAGCAAGACGAGTCACCAGGACTTTGCATCTGTGGCAACTTGTTTCGTTTCTTGATCGAGTCACTGCATACAATACTGGTAATTATTTCTCGGGTGTATGACATCTTTGACTGGGTGCTTTCAGACTGGCATCGATTTCTCAGGCGGATTCCTCTATTGGCAGTGGTCTCGCAATGCTCAAGACAACAGCCCACCGGCCATGCGCCATTCGCAAGTCGAATTTGCTCCGTTATTAATTAGTCGGAACGACCTATGTTTGTTTTGGGATGCCTGCGGGGCGAACCAAGCCATTCTGTATTCTGCTGAGTCGCCAGGACTGGCAGCGGACACATGACCCGCACACGTCCTGCCCTTAAAGGACTCGCTTGACTTGCTTCATTGTCCAGTCTCCGACACGGGTGCTGCACAATTACTCTCGCCTTGTGGCTGAAGCTTGACATGGTAGTCGCTGGTAGTCAAAGGTCTGTAGTGACGACAAAGTGCCGAGCTGTCTGCAGGCTCTGTCGAGCTGATTCGAGCGATGTCTTTCCGTCAGGCCACAGGGCTTTCGCATAGCAAGGAGATGCAAGCAAAAGGAGCATGAAGGGTGCTGCAGACTTTGCATTATAGTAGAGAACTTACCGACTTACACGTGCTATGGCTGCTGGGAGGACAAGAAGCCAGAGGTCCAGACGCTGTGGCAGAGGCCTCCGGTGACATCGGTGTGATTAGGCAGCAACACTGGCGATGCAAGGTTGTGGTGTCAACAGTTTCGAGCTGGCCTCTTGTCAGATTCTTTTCCCGGTGGCACATGTCAGATCATAGTTCGCTAGTCTCGTACCGGAAGGCAGACCCATAAAGGCTAAGATATTGACAGATCTGGAGTTAGTTTACCCCGAGCGACTTGTAAAAGCAGGGTAACACCAGCATCTTCAGTTCTGTGCAAGCCCGGAGGAAAAGCAACATGAGGCCTTGCGATGAAACCCTCGCTTCCTTGTGGTGTGCTGAGCCCATGGCAGATTCATTGAGTTGTACCGGGGCGTGTACTCTGCCCTGCTCAAGAGCACATTGTGACTCGGATGTCGACCAGAGGCATGAAGCGACCCAGTGATTACCGGGCGAGGTTGGCCTGACAAAAGCGAGAGTTTGGAACACAAAGCGGTTCTGAACCAAGGGATCAAGTTATTCAACTAGCTGGCCTTTTTGGCTTCGCCACTGCTTGGTTGCTAAAAGTCCTGTTGCAATTCGTCGGTGCTCGGCGCACCGCCTGTTTGAATCACTTGGCACATTTCAGGACTGGGGACGAGGGCACGTAACTTTGAAAGCAAGAGAAACAGGCAGTGAGGGTAGAGGTCGGGTCCATTGTCCCAGAAACGGGAAAACAGGAAGAGACCCGGTAAGACACGCAGACACTGTTGAGGAAGGTGGTGGGCAATTATGAAAGAAGGATGTCGTAGTGACATGTAGCTTTCGTTCACCCACCGAGTCCTCCAACAACATCTTTTCCCATAGCGCGGGCCTGAAGGACTATTTCAGACGGTCAATCCCGGCAGCAAAGTGGGCTGACGCTGACAAAGTGCAAGGCAATGCACAGTTTCGCATTGTTATAAGACGATGTATCTCCGGGCCTCCCTGACAGAGAACACGATGAAAGGAAGAAGGCACACGCAGGAACAACGGAGACGTATGACAACCCACGATGCGCACGCCGTTGGTGTGTTTCTTGTCCGACCGAGGCAAAGTGCACTGCTGTACATGGTCAAGGATCAGGTGGAGTTCTCCATTGAGCGATTTTTCCACCTCACAGCGCAGGCCGGACAGTTCGGACTTGTGACGAGATCTTGCCGTCTAAACAAACCCGTGTGGGCACATATTGGATATGCTGTTTGTTCTTCAAGTTGCCGCACGATCGCCGCTGCACGCCGGAAAGGCCTTCTTCCGCAAGACTGGCCAAGTGAAGCTTGGAAGCTTCTCCGGACGACCACTGGCGTCCTAGTGTTGTCGTTTCGGTTTTAGAGAACCAGCCGATACCAGCCGTCAAGAGGCAGTGCTGGCAGCGAGTTCCTGGCCGAGAAGAGCCACTGTGCACATCCATCTGCCTGCTCATTCATCTTCAATGGCGGCTTCTCACTGTCACTGCACTGGATAAAGCAAGGTGCGTAAGAGTAACTTGCAAGAAGTCCAGCCTGTACTTGGGATGATGTCTCGGCTCCAACGAGTTGGTGAGGTGGTCAGCCAGGTGCAGCTACTTAAGAAGTTGTGCAGGCTTGTGGATGTTTGCTGGTGGGTAGATCGGTCGGCTGCCATGTGCGGCTCTTGATATGCTGCTGCTGCCTCTGTCGTTTTAACAAGCTGCTACTCGACACGATTTCATTTGCAGCAGGTCGTCGCCTCAGCGACGGTACGGTATTTAGGACGTGAGCAACCACGCCAGTGAAGGCACGAGGCAAGTCAAGCGGTAGCGCATGGTTTTGAGCTGAGTCGGCGCCAGTGCTCTTTCCAGGCCATAGGGCCAGTTTCCAGATCGGCAAAGCACAACGCAGGTCTAAGTACTGATAAACTCATTTTGGGCTCCATGTTGTCCCGATCGACTTGCGATAGTACCGACCGGTACCGTGCTCTCGCTTGGAACCAGGCGACTAGGCCAGGACTTTCTGGAATGGCTCAGCTGGCAAAACGCAGCGACCCTCTCATTATTCTCGCCATCCTTGAACCATCGTTTTGGTGGACATCGGTGGCAGTGGCAGAGGCTCGCACGGCTGTGTGAGGCCTGATTAATTCTTGTCGAGGCTGCACCGGCCCTGAACAAGTCTTTGGGCTCTGAGCGACGGCTTTTGCGGCAGATGTAGCTGTGTGGGAGTGTGTACGTCTGTGACTTTGTCCTGATTTAAAGCTTCGTACAGTCCTTTTTGCAGGAGGGCCCCTCTTGCTGTCAGAGTTGGGTTTGCTTCTTTAAACAAAACGCAATCATTGACCAACGAGTCCTCACAGCTGCTGTTGCTGTAGATTGTTGAATGGAGCAAAGCTTGCGAGCTAGCTCTCGATGTGCGAGTGACGGAGCTTTGTACTTTCAGGTCGCTCTTCTGGGCTGTCAGGCAAAGTTCTCATACGAGCTGTCTGTGTTGAGACATACATACATCTCTGTGTGGGTCATATGTGAGTGTGTGTGTGTGTGTGTGTGTTTTTGTGCATGCTTGTGGAATCTAAACCCATTCTGCTTGTTCACGCAAGACTTTGGAGGGCGGGCAGTGCAAGTGCCGCCACCGGTGCCGCAACATGTTCTCACAGCCATCAATGATGCTTGAACGCCAGAACCGTGGCATTTGAACCATGTTCGCGTTTGCACCCGTGTTCTGGCTGAGCTTAGATCTGCAGACAGTCATGTGGCTAGTACCCGCAGCTTTTTGTTTGCAGCTTCGTAGGGAGAGTATGCCAGTTGTCATCTGCAAAACAATCGTATGCTTAATTCGGAAGCTCTTCATCAAACTGGTTTAGACGTTGTAAAGCTTCACAGTAGCCTGTGCTGCGTGGCCCCAACCTCGAGGTCAGGATCTGTATCAACACAGAGCCGAGATGCCTTTGCTCTCCTGGACACTGGATGGGGAAGCATGTGTAATATCATGTGTGGAGCATCAGCTCTACAGCTGCAGTAAGCCACCGCACTACAAACAAGACTGATCATATAATTCCTGTACTAGTACGGTGGTCTTAAGATGCAACAGCCGAAACATGGCCAGCTCGCTGTGCGTTATGGCGGGCAAGTCATGCAGGACGGATGCCTTTGCACGTGCAATTTGCCCGGTTTTAGATGTACAGCTGTAATTGCGTAGCAGTCCTTGATTGAAGGTGGAGTCGCAGGTGGTGTACCGGGCTGCTAGACCGAGCGTCGTCTCGAATCATCGGCACACCTGGCGAGCACTCAAACGCAACATCAGTCTCTAGAATATGGTAACCCAAGAGTCACGCTAATTACCTTCAAACGCATGTCAAGGGGGTGGAGGCTGGTGCCCGGTGTTGTCTTCAGGCTGTGGTTTAGTCTGTCGCCAGAGCTCTTCAAATTTCTAAAGTCTTCCTGGGAGGTACCGCACCAGGGTCCGGACGCCTCTGCTGGAGAACTGCAGGCCTCGTCTTGGCTGTCGGCTTGATTCTGTGGTCATTCCACGGCGCTTCCTAAAAAGGCTTGTCTGACCATTGCACTAATGCAGCTTGTCTGGGCCATCTCGTGCAGTGGGCCGGGCAAAGTGAATACAATATCGAAATTTTATGTCATTTGGTTTTAGTTTCTGGGAACGGGATGTTTAATGTGTCCTGCCCTTTTCATGCTCCTCGATCCGACCACTTTGCTTGGCCCAGATTCGCCGAAGGAGTCGAAGCTTAAAGCAAGACTGCCGGTGACATGGTGATCACATGCCTTCTACATACTCTACATACTATGCTGGACCTATCGAGGGTCAACCACGTACATAAGCTTGTCAGCTAACTGCCTGCGTCGCAGTTGCAGGTCTCTGTCCTGCTGCATGCTGCAGGCCTCACTGACAGGCTGTGGCAGACTATAGGGTTCATGCACGCACAAAAGACTTGCATCGACGATTTTGATCCCTGAGAGTCAGGCTCCAATATCAGAAAGAGGGCCAAGTCGTCTACGCCCTTCCCCCAAATCTGCCACGCAGCTCCATCACAGCCTCTGGTCTTGCAGCCGAATTTCCCAGTTCAAGATAGTTCAAGGATCCGAACCCCATCAATCTTCGGGGCCGGTTCGAGCATCAGCAATGAAGGCTCGAAGCATGGAGCAGCTGCTTTCGGACTTCGGATTCGGAAATTCGCAACAGAAGCAGCCACAAAAACTCTTACAGAAAGTATTCCCAACTTACGGGGCATAGCCATAATCTGGTGCATTGCTCTGCCATGCCCTACAAGGCAAAACGCGACCCAGACCATGCAATACCATACTCTACTGTACTGCAACATATTATGTTACAATGTTAGATCTATTGAATCTATTGTAATTACACCCAGTCGCTTATACTCGACAAACTGTAGCCTGAAAAGGCTCGGGAACCTCCTCGTGCCCGACGAGGATGCATTGCAACAGCTGCCTGAAGCATGTGTTCCCGAGGCCACTCCTCCGCATTGCTGTCATTTAGGGTGTAGTTTAGGGTATAGTATACTATAGGTTACTCTGTTGGATGCAAGGTTAGGTTCATCACTGCAACCACGTGTTTGTATGGTCTACTCGGAAGCCCGTCCGTCAAAAGACTGATCCGATTCGAGACAAAGACCACAGTGGGCGTGGCTCAAGCATGTCAGTGAGGCCCACTTCGAGCTTTGATTTTAGAGCATGGGTCATCATCCCGGTCCAATCCTATCCAGGCGAACATTTGTGCGTGCTGGCAAGTACGTGTCAGCTATCAAGCAGGGAGGTTTGCAGAAGTGCTGAACGGGATGCACAGTCTGACTCGGTAATTGGTTATCAGGAAACCATTGGAACGTGCGAGTGCCAGTCTAGTAAACGAGTGATGTGTCGCCAGCGATCAAGAAAGCTTGCAGGGCTCGTGCGAATTTCGACTCTGGTGCCAGATGGTGCCGCTGCAGGTTGGTGATTTCGGCTGCATTTGGAAAGCGACGGAGAACTCCAACAAGCTGGATTGAAGCTGCATTGACCATTGAGAAACACGACTGATGCTGCAGCATCCCCGCTCAGTCTTGACGATCGAGCATCTAATCCAGCGGCTATCTAGCGAATCGTTCCGGCGTCCAGATACCACAGTGCCCAAACGTGTCCTGAGTAGGGTCCCGATGTCCAATTGCGAAACACCTGCATCATGTTCAGCAAGGCCAGAGCGTCTCCATGTTCGGGCTGGGTCAGGCACGTATATCTGCCTTGTCAAAAGCTTCTAACATCGAAGCCCTTACCGTCACCATCATCATCGTCGTCAACAACAACATCATCATCATGATCACCAGTAGGGCAATGTAAGAATGTTGCTATTTGGTGTGGTAGTTAGATGTCCGGTTGAAAGAGTAGCGAGCAGTCACGAACCTGCTTCATTCACGTAGCACCTCAGGACTTCAGAAATCGAGCACTGGTTGAGTCTGTCTTTGGCAATGGTGCCCGTCATGGGCAGTTGCAGGATAAATTCAGCGTGCGTGAGTAGGCATGTACTCGAAGCTGAGGCAGCAGCTGTTGTTGTGCTCACTGGTGCAGTCCCGCGTCCTCACAGGCACGCGTGTTCGACCTGCGTCGCAACAAGGCGTGCTGGGAATTGGAAAGTTGCCGACCTGCTTTGGCAGATGAGCCCTGGCAGGGCAAGTCAGATTTGGGGCCTCTGTACCTTTGTCGGGCTATAGATGGCTACAGGATGCTAAGCATCTATTCTTTGCCAAAGGCTCCGCGGGAGAAACAACTCGATAGCTGGAGTTCCCAGCTTTGGCACCGTGTTATACGTTGTAAGAAACGGAGTGTGAAGCTGGTGAAAGCACAAACCAAAACGTGGATTTCCCAAGCTTGTCGCCTCATTGCCCTTTTCTCGCAATGAGAAATCTCTCACATGGTCCAAACCCTGCGCTCCTCAAAGTTCACAGCCCCATTTTGGCTCCTTGGCCGCAGGCCTCTCGACGCTGTCAGGGGTTCTCGACAGGCGGCTGCTACTCAAAAGCACGAAGACAAGTACAGAGCATCAAAGCCGGGGTTTAATTGCAAAATGGCTGCTGCGCGTCTAGGTCGAGAGCCACCTGTGCAACTATTTACTTGTCGTGATGTTATCTGCAGTCGGCTTTTGGATTTCAGAGGCCCGTTGAACTAATTTCGGGTATTTGTAGCTGCTGGAGCTGCTGCTGCTGTCCCTGCTACAGCTTTATGCTCATGGTCATGCTCAAACTTGCGGACCAGTGCGCTTGGATGTTTTTTCAACCATGTGCGGCCCAAGGCCAAATTCCGAGAAGTTTGAGCGTTGTGTGCAAACCCTTTGTGCTCTGTTTTGACATGCACGCGACGGGCTGACAGTCTCGTGAATTCGAGGCCTTCGGTGCAGCAAGCTGGCGTGACTTGGCCTGCAAGGCAGTTGTTTTCGAGTGCAACAAACTGACTTTTCTAGGAGCAATGTTTGAAAAGCATGAGGCAGGTTGTCTTGCTGAATCGGTGATGTTTATGCCTTTATATGTGCGTTTTTCAAGAGATCAGGATGCACGGTTTCTGTCTGCAAGGTCGGCACATGAACTGACGTCGCGGTGGTTCCAGATGCGCAAGGCATGCTGTCATGTGAAAGGCATATCTTGTCCCGAGTGAGCGTGCAAGAAGCACAGCACTTTCGAACCTACACGTTGTCCATGGCCGCTGCCCTCGCCGTATGAATGCGTTGCCGATGACAAGTGTGGACTCAATCTACACGGTCGGATGCAAATATCTGGCATGCTGGAACTCAGTCTTTAGACAATTCGAAAGGCGACACAAAACACGGCTCCTTGCAAGTTAGAGAGGATACACGCTGCCAGCCTAGCCTTCCCGCTCCCACCAGCACTTACACTGCAGCCCAACTCGTGGAGCTTTCTCTGCCTTATAGAGCAATAGTAGCCGCTACATGTACATGTGCTGCCATGGTGGCACGTGAGTTCGATGGCTTTGACGATGGTTATGGCGACTATGGCGATGGATCCGAGGAGGTCTGGTGGGCCACGACTCGACTGATTACTCTATTTGGTGATGTATGCACGCGGTTCGAAGCAAGCTGGATCAGGAAGCAGGAAAGGGCTCGGGCCCCCAACACCGCACAAATCAATGTAATGAATGAGACCTCGGCGGGGGTAACTACCCGGCAGCTTCTCTGTTTGGCGTCTTAGGGGTGATTGCAAAGATGATGGAGTCAGCTGTCAGGCTCGCTGTTGAATCAGGCTTGACGTTCGTATCACGGCCCATGTTATATACATCTCACATCACCTCACCGCTTTCCTGATCCTTCCTGCCTGACTCCTGGCCTCATGGTCCAGGAGAACCCGGCCGAGGAGGATGGCAAGCCGATGTTCGGCAGTCTGGTCGGTGAAGCCGGGGAGCGACTTGCCGGATGTGAGGTTACTTGCATGTCCGGCAAGTCTCGACATCGGGGCCTCATTTGGACCAGGATCCTTCAGAGCGGGCTTCTGTATCCAAGGATGCTTATGGAAGATGAGGCGAAGAACCAGCGACAGGCCTGCCAGAACGGCTTTTTTCTCATGTGCTGCAGGTGACGGAATGACATGCCAGTGCTGGAGAGACACAAGTATACATGAAGATACATGCCGCAGGCGCGCCGTAACTTGCGCATCCGCGGCCTGCTGAAGGGCCGACGAGACACCACCGTCGAGGCGGCATTTCCCGTAAGTTTTGTGAGGTTTCACTTCGAAGGTTTGTGATCGTTTGGACATCTTTCGCAGGTTTGTGGACAGCTTGTAGTTAAGACGCACTGTGTAGCCAAGTGATGCTAAACGCACCCAGAATGCTACGTACATGGCAGCTTCAAGCACCCCCCCGACTGACTTCCGGTCAGGAGCTGCTAAAGCCCGACACGTTGGGCGAAGCCTCTCGGCCATTCAGGCTTTTGCGAGGGAGCAGATCGGAACCCGGACTCTGACTTCAGAGCTGGACTCGAGTGTCTGCGTCTATAAATATATATATATATGTTTTTATTTTTTGGAATGGCTGTCTGTACACACACACACATATATATATATATATATCTAGCTATCATCTATCTATGTATTTATATATCTATACATACACACTTCTGTATTATACACGCAATGCTATCTTTATCTGCTATACATATCTGTACATACAAAGTCTCATGGCAGCGAAGGTAGCTACCATCACCGACCTGCTGGAGCCAAAGCCTGCAAAGGCTGAGGCCCCTGCATTAGGATGCCTTAGGAAGCAGTGCCTTTCCCGTGACTCCACATGCTCTTTAGGACTCTAGGGTTTACTGTAGGGTTCCGGTAACGACATCAACTATGACAACTATGAATCAAGGGATCGCAAAGGAGGGTTCAGGGAATGTGAGGCCTCTTTGGCTCCCACCACAGGTGACAATCGCAAGTGCCAATGACTCTCGGTGGGTTTGCCGCCGACTCAACAGATCCAGAAGATACGAAAACCGTAGGCTCTCCACCGGTTATCAGACGGCAGGACGAAGTTTCGGAACTTCCACCCTGGCTCGTCTATCGCGACGAGCCCTCAGAGGTGAGCCTGCGTCTCCACGAGGATGGGTGAGTTCTTCAATGTGAGCCCGGACAGTCCGGAGCAGCAAAGAGTCAAGATGGGACATTTGTGCCTCCCCAAGTCAAGAAACCGTTTGCGAAAGGAGCTCCTCGACTTTGCTGCCTTTATGCGGCCGACGATCATAGAGTCGGCTTCTGGGACGGTTAGGTAAGCAAAGCCAGCCATGCGCGGACATCGCGGCCCTGCTTACCATCACTAAATCAGTTGTGAGCTTTTGAAATCACTTTCCCGCGGTTACTGCTCCCCTTATAAGGACGATTGTGAAGCTGTATCAGTTGCATGCATATACCGTGACTTCTGCTCGGCAACTGGCTTTTCCAAATTCTTTCCTGTCTAGTCCAAGTAGGCGTGCCTGTGTTGTGGTATACTTGAAACCTGATGCATTTGTGTGAGCAGCCTTGACGTCTTGAAGTCGAAACCTCGTGTGTGCCATATCTCGATGCAACTGAGGCTGCAAGGGATGCCTGGACACACACTTTGCAGCAAGCTTCCGAGTCCTTGCCTTTTGGTGCACAAACAGCCTGCTGGTTTCGAACTGTGCATGGCGGTTCTTGCTTCCAAAGGTGAAGGGCTGAGCCTTTTTCGCGACCAAACCCTGATTGTACCCCACATGTGATGAGCACCGCAGGTAGGCATCTTCAGTGTTTCCCAATGCCCTGTTATGCGAGTGCACGCGCCCTGTTAAACAGATTTTCGGTGCAGTTGGGAAATTGGGGTGTGTTCGGGGCCGGACCATGAAATCCAAGCTGGACAAAATCATGGGTTGGGGGGGGGAGGGGGGGGCAGGCCACTCGCTGGCCACCTTAGTTACTGCAATTGTATTTCCAAGTAACGTGCAGTCCTCCCGAGGCAAGTTCCGATAGCCCGGATCCGCAGCTTGGGGCCGTGAAGACGTGAATTCCGGTAGCTGAAGCATGGTAAATGTGCGTGCAATGTTTTTGACATGAAGCATGGTACATGTGTGTGCAAAGATTTTGACATGAGTACACATGCCCATAATCCACACGGGCTGCCCTGTGGCTACTTCAAACCTCGACCCTAACAACACCGAGCAAGAGGAGCGACGCCAAGTCCGAGCAGAAGCGAAGCATATTCTCCAAAAGTACCACCCGAGAAGCGCAAGAGAACTGCACAGGCTCCCCCAGCACAACAGTCCAAAAGCCCGCGCCAGGGACAGCTAAATAGCATTGAGGCAGTCGCCTACTTGTATCTCGTCAATGCGAGTCAGGTAAGCCCTCACATTCAGAATGCCCAGCACATGCAACAAGATCTTGCGTCTCAATGTACCAGCACTTCGCACCATCTCAAGGACCAGCATTGCATCGATGTGCCCAGACAAAGAATCGTGAGCGCTGGTTCAGCGAAAAGGCATTAAGTGTTTGCTACTCGCATGGCCCTCTCTAGACGGCCTCTGAGCGCAAGACCCAAGATGTATTCATCCTCGGTGCAACGATCGCATAACAATCAGGTGGCCGCAGGCGCGGGTGCATGTCTTCGGTTCCACTGCCACGAAGCTGAACTTGCCAAATGCCGATGTGGACGTTGCCATCGTCAACATAGAAGGCAGCTTGCGAGGGCTCGGCGGTTTGCTGTGTGTTTTTGCGATTCGGCCCATTTAACAAGCTCCTTGCTTCACCAATTCGGCAGGGGCGACTGGAGACCTCTTCCTGACAAGAACACACTTTTTCATTGACCGTCCTGGCTTTGTTACATGCCTACGAAATTGCTTACCTCTCCCTGACAAGAACATGACACGTTCTTATTGACGGTATTTACTTACTTACACACGTACGTAAGTACTTGCTTATCCACTTGCCGACCTACCTACCTGCCCACCGACGTACCAACCTGCCTGCCGATCCGCCTGCTTGCCTACGATTACATACGTAGGAGATGACTTATGTCTTCTAGGCAGGCAAGACACGAGTAAGACCAAGGCCCTGAAGGGCGGTTCCCAGTCGTGTTGAGGCCTCAGAGCCACCACGGCCATGAAAAAGCTGGCCGAGCTCCTGTTGGAGCGCGAGGAGGTCAGTAAAATTGAAATTATTCAGAGCCTTGCCTTAACAGATCATGGATTTGAATCTCTCGAGCCTTCGGCGGGTAGGTCGCTGGTAGTGTCGCTGGTCACACGCAAGACACTCGAATAAACATCTGTCCACGGCATGTCTGAATATCGTTGGTGGCACAGCTTCAGCAAAGGAGAGGCAGTCTCTTATCGGTCAGTGAGTCATCTTTTGCAGAACACGAAGAGCGCCGTGACCACGAGGTCTGCAAAGGTTCCGGTCATGAAGGTCCAGCACCGAGACTTGGCTGCGGTTCGGGATCCCTTCACCCCATCGAGGATTCAGCCCGTAATTGTTGCCCGCAAGCAGCAGCTGGAACCTCCACTAAACTAACTTCTAGACTTGACCGAAGGTAGCCTCCTGCCGCAAAATTGGATCCTCAACACAGGAAACACGGGGCTGATGGCCGACATCGTAGTCAACCGGACCGATGGCCTCGAGACTGCGCAATTCATTGACGCATCCCGACGATGCTAAAGTGGGTAATAGGCTGGGCTTCGAGGGTACAGGGTCTTGGTCATACGCAGCTGACAGGATTTGGGGACAGCGTATGACGTTATTATGCAGGCAGGCAGGCATGCAGGCATGTGTGTTTGTGTGTTTGTATGGGTGTATGATAGTATGAGTGCATGGGTGTATGTGTATGTGCAATGTTAAAGCTCGAGGCAGTAAAAGTGCCAGTCCAGCTTTCTCAGGAGCAAATGCGGCTATTTCCTGCGCTGTCGCCACTGGTGCTGTTTCTGAAATTGTTCCTTTCACAGAGGAATCTGCATGAAACGTTCATGGGTGGCATGGGCTCCTACGTGCTCGTTTGTGCGCCTTGGACGTGTTGGCGCCATAGATTTCGTTGCTGTTTGCATTTCTGCTATCCTAAACGGGCTAGACTAGGTGACATACTGTCGCTAAACATATGAACTGGTTTCATTTTATGAAGCTACAACAAGAGCAGACACCTTGCGATGGTTATGTAGGAGCGCAAAGAGTTAGGCCTGTTCTGGCATGTGCGTATTCCTCTCGTGGAGGTGGTGCTTTCGTTTCTGCAGCACCACAAGTCGGCCCAGAGTTCCCATTTGCATTCGGTAACTACTCTGGGCAACCTTCTGCTGGACTTCTTCAGGCCGCGAGGGCGTCGAAACTTGAAGACGTTGCTAGCTGCTACTGTACCTGGTGGGTTAGAAGTCGTCTACTCACCACAGAGTTAGTGGTACTTTTAATCACATCAATCATTAATCCTGAAACTTTCATTGTGCGCGACGGCTCCCACAGGTACTACGGCCAGGAGTTCCGCTATGCTGCAACTGGGATCTCGGTGCGCGAGGGCGGATCCCTGTTCGACCGGGCCAAGCGAGGCCCGGGGCTCTTTGGACTTTCGAGAGCCAGCACCATCGTAAATAAACTCTGAAGCTCGAACCCGCAACCGTACTGCGACGGCATATGATGCCAGCTCTGAGCCTCCGTTGGAAGGTCCGAGCTCGCGTGTGAAGGTCCTTGCCGGTCCTAGCCCCCGACACCTCTTCCAACATCCAACCGCTGCAACCAGAAGCATTTACAAGCTTTGCCTTGTCTTCGTGTGTGAGAGGAGGAGCAGGCTGTGATGAGACTGCCGCTGGTGATTATGACGATTACGGTAAGCAATCGTAGTAACGGCAAAGCTGTTTTTTCCTTGCATTCACGTTCATGTACAGATGAGTTGTTTAGCAGCCGCCAATTCGGCGTCCCGAAAGACTTCGTGCATGCAAGCTGCAATCATTGTTGAAGGTTGGACCGCAACAACTCGATCCGGACAGGCGACGTTATGCCTAGAGCCCTTCGGACTTTCGGGTTCTGCCTCGGAGCTGCCACGAAAGAACTGCATTAATGTCCGCCCTCCAATCACGTGCCGGAAGCCTAACATCTGATTTTCGGAAGCCTTAGGAGCACTCACTCTGGAGATGGCTGCGGGATGCGTCCAACAGTGTAGGTTTGATGCATTGCGTAGTAGCTCATGACGATAAGCTGCCGCCTTCATCATCGATGCGACCCTGGCCGTTTCCCCTGCTAAAGGTCGCCCACTGAGCCTTCTTTGGACATTGGTGGCCGGATATTCAAGACGCTAGGCTGCGACACGCAGGGACGGACAATCCACACCACGCAGGATGCCGAAAGTTTGCAATCTGAACATGTGCGCCGCGTGTGTAACTTCTCACCTGCCTTCGGGCGGTTACAAATTCTACAATGATTTTGACTTCGCCCCTGGCCCAGCGCTCCAGCTCTAAGTCCTCTGAGACGATGCCATGCAAGGATAGGGCTGGTCCGAGCCGCCTTCAACCACGGGTACCAGGCCGCCCGGACGTCAGGAATGGAGAAGTGGTGAAGGTAAGTGAAATCTTGCAGAGACGCCGACGAAAGACTCACTTCGAGTCGTTAGGGCCGTTAGGGCCTTCTGTGGGACTTTGGAGGCAGGAACCCTAAATATACACATTATGTCATTAATGTAAAAATCTAGACAGTTATGATATGTCGTATATGATTATATTTACTTGTGTATATATTCATATACAATATATATATATATATATAGATACACACACACACACACATATATATATATAGATACAGAAATTATGTGTGTGTATGTAACAAATGAATACGTAAATGACTGCTCATCAGCTTCTTTTGGAGGTCGTGTCGGCACTCTTCCTGGCGAAAAAGGCTCCAGAAGGATCACTTCTTTGCCCATTCCTCCTCCGACAGGCCGTGGGGGAGCAGAAAAAAGCAAAGGGACCAGGGACAGATGGTTCCACCATACTTCGGAATGCAGTGAGCACAAAGCTTTGTTCGCACACCGGTTCGGAACTTCTGCCTCTGTTAGTAGCCACCACAGCTGCCGCTCTAAGAAGTCGTGGCCTGGACATACCTGGCAGGACCATCCGACCATTGCGGAGCGCTATCAGCTCTACCGCGAGCAGCCGGCGCCCTTCCTGGAGGCACTGCTTTGGACCCTTTCGGCTTGATGCTGCAATTGATGACAGATGGGCATGATGGAACTGTCCGAAACGTCCAAAAAAGGCCCTGCTGCGCTTGACTCTTGACACCTGTGCCTGCGCGTGCTCTCGCAGGGCGTCGGGCGTCCGGAAAGTGACGAGGACTTGGGGGCATGCGCGCATGCGCAGATGCGGTGGGAATTTTGGGATCGTTGACTGGTTTGAGATTGGTTTCAGTCTCGGGCTGTCGATGACTGCACTGGGGTCTCAAGGCTGGGCAGGCATTGGCATCATTCACTCCAAGTTGCCAGAGACTTCCGTTCATACCGGCCTGTACCACCAGAACAACCACGAGTTGGTGTTCAAGTTGCATTCGTATTATTAGTAGGGCCTTGCTGGATGAAGGCGGCCGGAGGTCCTGAGACCTGAGACCTCACACCTCAAGCTACTCGCAACTTTCATGCTTCGTCTTGTAGGAGGCGCAGGAGCCGCCACCGAAGAGGCGTCGTGGGGAAGTCGCACCAACCGTGGATGTGCCTCTCACAGAGCCGGCCTCTTGTCGAAAGGTTTGCAGTATTATAGGCTTTGAAACAGGGAAGCGATGCTTTTCTGCAGAGTTCTCTGCAGAATTTGCAGTTCTGCGCCCCCCATAGCGACGCCCCATCGAATCCTTTGGTCATGCGGCTCGAAAGTTCGCTGCTGTGCTTCGGGCCCCGGCCCTGCAGGAGATCGCGTAGGGCGTATCAGACTGTGAGTAGCACCTAGTCTTGACGTCTCAGAAGACGAAGGTATGATCAGAGTTGCCAGAACTTATGGAGCAGAAAACCAGACGTGAGACGAAGGGTTTCGAGAAGGTTTGTAACATTATAGTCGGACGGTTGGGGCGAATGAGGCTGAACCTGTACCCGCAGTTCCAGCAGAGGACCGGGAATGACGGTGAATCTTATGCGCACAGCATCAGGGCAACCAGGGCTCATAGCCGATGCACCGGATTTCAGGACCTGTGCAGTCCCCGGAAGACGGTGTGCTATGGTGTGCTAGCCATTCCCCGGCCTGGCTGCAAGTAGAACAAGCGCAAGTAGAGGATGCCGACGAGTTGGGCGATGCGTTGGCCTTCTTGGCAGAGACCGAGGAAGGGTTGGGCAAGGGTGCATTTAGCATTGTGAAGCCGCATCAACACTCCGCAGGCATTGTTGCCAGTCTGGTGAAGGGCTTGGGCAAGAGCCAGTCAGCTGTTACGACCTAGGGTAAAGGTCGTTAAAGCATCGGGTAGATTGCAGATTGAGCCAGCGACTTTGAATGCAATTTGTTCGGGAGCGTGCTGAAGGCCAACTATAGTTCCTCGGTCTTCCGCCCGGGGTGCTACCCCCTTATTTTTCGAGCTCTTTTTAGGATGGCCCTGCAAAAACATGGTTGCATAGAGGATTGGCTTGGTGACGAGAGGTCTGAAATGCTAGCTGTCTGTTCCATGGTTGAAGAAGTCACTTGATTATCGGGCATCGAAGTGACGCGAGGCGCCCTGCAGTTGTGGTGAGGCTGTTGCCCGAACCTCGCACGGCTTGCGGAGAGCGCAATTGCCCTGCATGATCAGTGGGTGCTTCAGAAGAAATCTGGCTTGACCCCAGAAGGGCTGCTTTCAAAGGTGGGTGTGGCGAAGGTCGGGTTCAGCCGTTCGGCCAAATGCTTCTGCAGGAGGTCGCCGAACTCGGCGGGGCCTTGGATTTTTTGGCTGCGGAGCTCCCAGGACCACAGCATCGGAAAATGTGGAGCCAGGGCTAGAGGAGGTGCAGCAAGTTTCAGCTGCATCGGTCGGGAGGCTTCAAGTCGTCTGAAGGCTCAGGGTTACCAGGGACTCAGGAGCTCTTGAACGGGTGCAGGGCTTCGGATGCAGCATTTTCAGGGGCTCCAGTTTTCATAGGCAAAGCTTTTGGTGAGGCTTGGCGTCGGTGAAGACACGAAGCCGAGAACTTTAATCTAGCGCTTTCAGTGACGCTTGGCGGAGGTGCGACAACGAGAGTTCAACCTGCCCTTGGCGTGACGATGCGAAGCCAAAGGCAAATTGCGTAGAAAAGAAGTGTATGGCGACAGGAGCTGACAATGGGGAGCTCGAAGACGAGGACGACGAAGCATACGATCCCCTCGCCGAGCCTCGGGCAGCAATTTAACATGATCGAAGAGCCGAACAGCTAACCCAGAAAGCCTAGTAAAGCTCCTGCAAAGAAAGGCTCTTTAGCTTTCATGCCTTTGTTGTGATGTTCTCAGCTCCCAAGTAGTGCTTGCCACTATCTGGCACTCTGCTTGCCTGTCAATCATATGTTGACTACGGTCTAGCTCGCTAGCTCAACGAACAAAAAGCTTGGCACGCTCGGCAGCAATCCACAGCCCAGACGGGACCCGTGCACCCAAATCATTTGCCATCCTAGCCATTTTCCAACTTGGAAAAACGAATCCAGCCGGAAATTTTAGCCTGCATCGCTCAGGTCGAAGTTCCACCTATCATGCAGTGATGTGTCCGTTCCAGTTCCAAATTTCTTCGACTCGCTCGAGTCCGCTAGAGGGTTTCAGGGCATGATTTCCCAAATGTGCTCGACATCGCTGCAGGTGCTGCCCGAGGTCTTTGACACGGAGGATCCTGCGGGCGACAAAGATGTCTCTTGTCGTACATTCGTGACATGTCAATACGGTAGCGTTTGTCAACATCTCTCTTTCTGTCACACGTGTCATGTGCACGGCGCCAGTGCGCTGGTGCCCAACTGATCTCCCTATACATGCCCTGTACAAATGGTGGATGCGACGGGCAACTTCTAGTGCTCTGCGACCTTAGAAACTGCTGATTGAAAGTTTCGAATGTATGCTGTATGCTCATCTACGGAGTGTACAGAAGATATCTCGCCAAATTCATAACGCTCGTGTTTCACTTCTGGCACTTTCTGGCTCATACAAAGGCATAGAAAGCCAAATGAATACACTAAGGCATGCAAGGCAAGCAGGCAGACTTGCATGCATAATTCTCCAGATGGGCACATAATCGTGCATGCAACATGTATGTGACATGTCGCTATGTGTACATGCATGTCTTGGTCCCCGGCCAGCTGGATGTTTATGATGTTGGTGTGTCTGCATTCTTGATTTGTATTGCCGCCTCAAGTCTTTGTGCCACACTACTAGCAACTGTGAAAGCCGAAACCTGAAAGACCCTCATGAAGACTAAGTGTGACTAAGTCCGACTTGCGTTGTGTATGTCGCAGCCACAGCTCCGTGTGTGCTTCTGCTTTGTCATCGGAGAGAAACTCCAGGCGCTCGCCGAAGCAGCGCATTTGCTGAACGTGGACCCTCAGGCATGTGCAACGTCTTGTTGGCTGCGCCACAAAACTAAGAGTGGATAAAGTCCTCTGTCATGCGAGAGCAGAAGAGGAGAAACCACCAAGTCGGGAGATTGGAATCTCTTAGAACTTCGAGCTCCCTTCTCTCGGATTCGTGGTTTATATGTGACGAAATAAAACAGGGCATTCATCTGTTTTGCCGGCGCGCAAACTTCAAATTGTGAGGTTTTTGCATTATTTCTGCATTCAGTATAGTTCCAGGACGTCACTTTGCAGCACGAGTGGTAGAACATAACACGTATTCCAGCCGGTCGCCTTGTTTTCGAGTCAGGTTTTGGTAGAAAAGCAAACTAGGACTGCTGCAGCCCGTCTGCAGCAACGGCAAGCCTGCAAAGGTGCTTCCCACGGCTGTTGTGTTTACACTTTCACCGGCGAGCTGTTGTTGTCAAGCTTCAAGCTTGACAGATTGATCGGACTCCTTAGCATAGCCTCTGAACAACCCAAATTTAGGCCAAACCATGGCCTGGGGCCTGGGAGGTTGCCGCGGTTGCCTGTAGAAGCACAGCCGCCTCCCTGCCCTAAGTACGGCTCCGAGACTCCAAAGCCGCTGCAGGTTCTAGCTGAAGAGCAGCGCTTGCTGCAGGAGGGCAATGCTCTGGGGTTTCAGGTTGTGAGCTTTGGATGGCCCGGTGGCCCGGACCAAGCAGGCTTCGGAAACCCATTTCGGACTGACGCTTCGCGTGGGCCTGTGTTCCTTTCGCCCTTTCGCATGGAGCGCGCTGTGACTTGCAGTGGGCGGAGAGATTTCGTTGCTTCCCTCTGCCTCTCCCTCTCTTTGCCGGTCTTTCCAGAGCAGATGATTACAGAGCCTGCAGCAATTTCGAGAGCAACTGCCATGGGCTACCAGACCAGTCAGGCAAAACTCCGCTGAGCTTGCATGTGCAGCCTGCGGCACGCGCGCCGAAACGCACATCGCGACATACATAAATGTATGCGTGTAGGAGTGTATGTATGTATGTATGTATGTATGTATGTATGTATGTATGTATCTATATATGTATATGTATGTACGTAGATGTATATTTTTGTGTGTGTATGTATATATATATATATATGTGTGTGTGTGTGTGTCCATGCATATATACTTATAAACTTGTATTGGATTTGTGTGTGTGTGAGTGTATGCATGTATTTACGTATGCATGCATGCATGCATATATCTATGGTTGTTCTCCCTAACCCTCGCTTGAGCTTCGAGCGCGAGTGCTAAACATGTGCGTATGGACTATAATTTATTGTAACGTAATGTGTCGTGAGGTAATGTCTGAATGTATGAATTTATTATTAAAGTACTGTATTAATATAATAATGCATGTAATCTATGCATGTATGCATGCATGCATGCATGCATGCATGCATGAATGCATGCATGTATTATGTATGTGTATATATATATATACACATATGCAGACACACACAGGCAGAGTCACCCACTTGCTTTTTAACTCCTCGCTTCAAAGCCGTAAGTTCAGGAGCAGATCCAGCTCCTCGAGGAGATCCAGGTCCTCGAGGCTTCGGCTGCAGAGCCTTGGAAGAAGAGAGGGGCTCAATAGTTAGAAATATATGGGAGTTTCCGAAAGTAAGGGGTACCTTAGTTTGGGGTCCTTATAATAAGAACCCTACTATCTAGGGTACGATATTAGGATCCCCTATTTTCGGGACCCCCCCAAATATATGGCTGGCCTTGTATACAGATATGGCAAATGAGGAACCCTAAGTCGAAGAATCGGCTGTTGGGGCTATCGCTGGAACGCAGGACAGAAACAGTCGGAACTCCAACATGAGTCGTTCTGTGTGCTAGATTGTGGCATGTCACTTATTTAGGGTTTAGGGTTTAGGGTTTAGGGATAGAATAGCACTTCGTACCAATGCATGCGTTGTGCAAAAACAGATGCGGCCAAACTCTGCCAGAAACGCACTTTTGGAAGCTGTGACCTACTTATGATGGAAGAAAGATGTTGGCTTTCTATGATGCCTCGGTAGCCACAATCCCGCAGCCAGTATAGGCACTTCATGTTGTTCGCATAACCCTATGTGCCACATGTGCTTGTATTCCATGTCTTGTGGTCCAGCTTGCAGACGCGTACCCGGTCGCTATTGCATTGAACCGAGCAGTTGCTCATTCAGCGTCACGGTTGAGATCGGGACGTGGTTTATGGAATGAGTTGCCGATAAGGAGTTGGACATGGACGAGGAGGGAGACGGATATGTTGACCCCGGAGACGGATACGCTGACCCAGAGCCCGAGGATGATGTGGAAGTTTAGGCCCTTCCCATGCTTCGAAGACCCTGCAGAGCTCCAGAAGTCCCAAGATGGGCAAAGGCCGCCGGCACTGTGAGAGCCAAAAAGGATTCGATGCATCTTACAGCAGCAAGTCTAAGTATGCTTACTTGGTGGTGTACATGGCAGCGATTTCTTAGTGGTGCAGCCTTCGCATAACAGTGCAGGGTATTTTCTGCCGGCAGTAAGAGCATTTCAGGTGCTTAAAGTTTGGCCTTGGCACTGTCGCTGCCGACACTCCCTGTGTTTGCCAATGCCCGCTTTGTGCAGGAAGCAGCCGAGACAGCAGCGCAAGCCGCAACGAAGGCGAGACATGAGTTTCACGAGCGCATGTGTTTCAGCTGTGCTTTTTGCTGACCTCAAGGCAATCAAGTGTACTCTTGACTGCTCCATGTGACAACAACGAGTACGTGGCACGGTTACGGTTGAAGCCGTCGTGTACACGCAGACAAGAGCAAAGACGCGGGGGCATGGAGACTGCCAGACCGGGAGAGAGAGCGGCAGAGGTTGTTTTGTAAACTCTTTTGGTGCTGATCAATTTGTCTGTCACCTGTCCACAGCCAATGAAAGTATGGGAGGTCCATACTGTAGTGGCCGGTGGACTCGACACGCCCCTCATGCCCTGGCCAAGAAGGGAGACGGAGGGAGGGAGAGGGAGAGCGAGAGAGAGAGCGAAACAGCCTGGAAAGAATTGAAGATGAGCCTGAGGGGGACTAGTTCCTCCTTGCCCCTAGCCCTGGCGAAAGAAAGAAAGCGAAAGAGAACACTCGACTGAGCGCAGTGCGGGGACAGACAGAACCCAGACCGAGGGACGGATAGACAGAGCGAGCGAGGAATCAATGCACAAACCAGGGTCTGACCATGATTGACCGTGCCATCCAGGCATGTCTTCACATGCAAGCATGACAGGTGTCACTGCAGGGTGTGCACATGAACTCCACCGTACAGATGTACGTCAGTGTTAAGATATGTTAAGATGGCCATTCTAAACCCAGTGTTTCGGAAAAGTGTGAAAAAGAGCTGGTCGAGATATAATCAGGCGTGCCATTGTCAAAGTTTGTGTCGTTTACACGAACGTCCATGTTTCGCCTCCGGCTGCCTTCTCGCAACATGTTTTCCGCTTGGTTTGTTTCACTGCTGGTGTTTGTACATGACCGTGAGCATATGCGTATGGATTATCACCACAGCTGATCGGGTTGCAAGGCAACCGATACCTCTCTGCTGGTGCACGTCCGCGCAGCTAAGAGGACCGCGACATGCTCAAACGCGTTTCGTCGAGGGTGCCGGATGCAGAGCTTAGATGACCTTAGGGTTAGGGTCATTCAACAGGGGTCCATCGCAGCGACGAAAGAACAGCAGCTCGCAGAGAGGATTGCACCCATCCTGCTGTTTGCCAACGAAGCGGGCGAAGTGTCATCGTCGCATTTGGACCCTGTTTCAAAAAAGCAAGGACTGCGTTTCCTTTCCACTGCAACGTACGCGTGCTATCGTGGCCCGACGTTTGCAGATTTTTTCTGTCCCGAGTCGGAGCAGGATCTGACAGTGGCGCATGATCGCTGCCCAAACTGAAGCCTGACAGCTAAGGTTCCTGTCGCTGTCATGACCTGAGATTTCTGTGAGTGCGACTGCTTCAGTTTTAGCAGCTTATTTGCTTATGTAGAGCAAAAGCTGCACAGGTTGGCGGCCAATCGATGCTGAAAGTAGACCTGAGGACAGTTCATAATTCATATCAGAGCCCTGTATTAAGAAAGCCCTTGACTGCACAGAAGCAAAGAGAGAGCGGGAGCAGAACCGGACCAGCACACGCCTCCATGTTCAACAGATTACAGGATCAAAGCCCGGCAAGCTCTTTGCCGAAAGTGGTAAAGGAGATGCCGAAAACTTTCCGACCTCCGTCCCAAAGTATTGAGCCAAGTTGATCCATAACGCCCCTGATGCTTCCAGCAATCCAAGGCGGCCATTGCAGCTTTCGCCCTCAGAGAAGCGGCGGCCCGAATTTGGCCACAGTGCGCTTTGTGCCGTGCCGCTGCCACCAGCTTTGGGGGTTCTGGTCAACCCGAGTAGTTAGATAGAGTTGCCGCAGGACGAAGAAGGAGCTCACTGAGCACAATTTTGCGGATTTAGTGTGTTGGTTTGAGTCCGCGAGAGAGAGAGAGTGTGTGTGTGTGTTTGAAATTGATGGCTTTTGGGACTTCACGACTTTCGCATGATTCGTCGGATTTGTTCAGTTTTCACTGCTGTTAGTGTGGCGGGCTGCTGAACGTCTTGCAAGGCTCTGGAGGCAGCTTCACACACGTAAATGAAAAGTCGGGTTCCGTACAAACCTCTAAGCGCGTGTGTTTGAGGCGAATTGTCGTGGTGCGCGCCAGTCCATGCCCAGTATGCCATGCATGGGAACGGTGACACCGCGACGTTACAGCTTTGCACCGTTCCGCGTCAGTCGCAGCGTTAAATTAAGCTATATTAAGCTGCAGAAATGCTGCGCAGGCCGAGTGTTGCTGCAGCTTCCTTGCGCGGAGTTTTTGGGCTGGACGGCGTTCGTGCCTAGCTAGCTGCTCCAGCACATAGGAGCATCGTCTCGATGCAATAGTAAGGCCATCTTTGGTCATATGCGTGCTACCTTGTGCTGGCTGCCCGGCTCTGCAAGGGGGTTGCGGATCATGGAGAGAAGAATCGAGAGGGCCATGCCCATGCCAAGCAGCCCATACACCACCGTCCCTGACGGAGATCGAAGCCCAGAAGCAGCTTTTTAAACCTAACCACTCTGCCTCGGCCCATCTTCGCTTTGCCAGAACGACTCCAGAGCTGCTCAGTGCATTTGCCTCAGCTCCGTGAGGAGCTGCTGCCAGCAGCTGGGGCCCGAGCTTCTAGAAAAAGCCGGAACAGAACTGACCTGGCCACGACAAACACCGACAGCGGCCATGCCCCATAGATTGTAATATATCTTTTGCCCTGCTTCTTTGGACCCGGACCTGACGACGACGACAACAGCAGCAACAACAACAAACAACAGCAACAACCACAACCACAACCACAACCGCAACAACCACCACGACGACAATCATCTACTACTGCTACTACCAGTACTGCCGCCACCACCACAACCACAGCGACGACGATGCACTACACAACCACACTACTGCGCTAATGCGACTTCCGCGGCTACTAGTACGACAACAACTACTACTACGACGACGGCGACGACGACGACGACTACTACTGCTACTACTGCTACGACTGCTACGACTACTACTACCACTACTACGACTACCGCTACTGCTACTGCTACTACTACTACTACTTCTACTTCTACTTCTACTTCTACTTCTGCTTCTACTACTACTACTACTACTACTACTACTACTACTACCACTACTTTTACTACCGCTACCGCTACTGCTACTGCTACTGCCACTGCTACTCCTACTACTACTACTACTACTACTACTACTACTACTACTACCACTACTTTTACTACCGCTACCACTACCGCTACCGCTACTGCTACTGCTACTGCCACTGCTACTCCTACTACTACTACTACTACTACTACTACTACTACTTATTATTATTATGATTGTTCCGACCGACCCCAAACCCTACAGAGGGATGTGTGGGTTCTTAAAACAACTCTCAATATAGGGAAAGACGCGGCAGTACCGAGGACTGACGAACAAAACAGAGTTTGGGGAGTTGGGTTCAATGATTGAACTTTCTAGGTTTAAGTGATAATGTTGAAGTAAGGTTCAGTGTGTGAAGTATTTCGAGCTTCATGTGTAGCATATGGGTGCAGAGGGCTGAGGTCTTAAGGTGCAGGATTTCAAGCAGTTCGGGTTTGTCAGGGCACCTTCAGGGTGTTGTAGACAGCCAGGTCGATGCCGGAAGCGGGGACAATGGCCAGCAAGGCGGGCCAAATCCCCTGTGGCAAGGGCATGGCAGCTTCCTTTCGGTTTGTGGCTCATTGTTTATGTGGAGGATCATGGGACGTAGTGTAAAGTTACTGTATTTATGACCCTCGTGACTAAGTTCCATTTTCTTCCAAACTTCTAAGTACGGTTTAGAGATTAGACCTCCTTGTACCCGACGAGGCACACCCAGTCCACAAAGCCCGAACCCCACGCCCCCCCCTTTCTGGTGTAGAAACTTTGTTCCTTGAGGGGGACCGTGACAAAGTCGACCTTCTGATTTCAGCCTTTTGTTTGCTCTTGGGCCTCCGCCTTAACAATAAACCCTAAACCCTGAACGCTAAATCCTAAGCCATAAGAACCCTACATCCTAAACCCTGAACCCGCAATGTTTATAATTTCAGGTCATGGTGACGAGAAACTAGACCCTAAACCCTAAACCCTAAAACCCCCGCTCCACCCTCCGTTGACCAGCTCTTGCCTTGTAAAGCGCACGAAAGCCTTCCACTGCGACGGTGCGCTGCAGGCAGTCCAAGATACCAGAGTAAGTACCTGTCATACGCTTCGCAACTGCTGCCTCATCGCATCAGCATGTTCAGCCGCGGCCTTAACCCTAAACCCTAAACCCTAAACCGTCGTCATCCTCGTCTGGGCCTTAGGGTCCCTATCCTGGTTGAAGGCAACACTCCCATACAAGCAGCACCCCCACGTCCCAAGCCGTTTCTTCGTTAATCCAGCAAGTGGTCTTCTAACATACGAAATCTCAGGAAAGAGTCATCCTGAGCTATCTACAATGGAGACCGATAGGCCAGTCAACTTTCGACACCCCTGACAGTCGGAGCCATGCTTCTGCACAACTCAAAACAAGCCTGAACTCGGGAATATTGATCCGACTCCGACCCTGATCCTCCACTTGAACGGTGCAAGTCGGTTGAAGACAATGGCATGAGCACCGGATTCGGGATTCTGCGTACCAAGTTACCCCCCTACTACGGACACCACACCCAGGCTGCTGATGGTCTGAGCCCTCTCGAAGCCCAGTACATGAACCAGTAAAGAAACCCCATTGCCAACCTGGGAGGTAGCACTGGCCCACCGACACGAGGGCAGGTTTCAATAGCTCTATGCTTATCTGGATTCTGTTGCCCAAAGCAAAGCCTGAATCCCAAGCCACTTTATGGGCAGTTCTCTAAAATAGGGTCCCTTTTAGGATCCTGTTTACAAGGGTGCCGTACTATATTGGGGACCTAAAATGGGACCCTAATTCAGAGAACTACCCTTATGAACCCTAAACCCTAAGCTGTGGCCGTCATTTCACGCCTGACGGCGCAGCGGCCAGGCGAGTTTTTGTTACCTGACATGTCTGATCCCGAGAGTCGAATGCTTGAGGGCTCAGGGTCTAGAGTCTAGGATTTCGGGCTTAGGGGTCTAAAGTTTCGGGTTCAGGGTTAGGGCGTTCCCGCGGTTTCTGGTTCTAGGGGATTAGGGGATTAGAGTTTGGGTTGAGGGTTTACCAGGAATCCAAGCACCTGAAATTCCAAATTGTAGCAGGAAATCAGCTGGTATGCATGTATGCGCGTCTGTCTGGCTCCATGGCAACGTTTGCACTTTCCCGGCGCCACAGTCCCTGAACCCCAAACCCCGAATCAATTACACTCTCACACAACCTCAGATCAATGCTCCCGACGAGGTGCATCCAGTGGATAGACAACGGCCTGCGAGATGCAGCCAGCGACAGATCCGGCAACTAGCCGCTCAGAGACAGGCAGCAAGGTCTCTGTGTCGGATATGGCGGCTTTCACCTCTCGCTGGTGGGGTCTACCAAGGATATCAAGCTTGTTTTGTTTGATTGTAAGCCCTAAATTTCAGCTGAGGTCATTTACTGCTACAGGGACCAAACCAGTTTATGTTCAGGGCATCTAGTCTAAGGCCTTCAGAATTTCTACAGCTCCGTTTCAAGGTCCAAAGAATTTCCGTTTAAGTTCAGGTTCAGGTTTCGAGTTTAATGTCTTGGGCCTAACCCTGAACTCAAAAAACCCTAAACCTTAAACCTTCAGGGTGTCGGGTTTAGGCCAGTTTAGGCTCTGGGATGGTATCCAGCTAGGGCCTCCTTGCTGAAGGCACCATATGGTGCAATGTAGGGCCCTTGACAACTGGAATAGGGTTGTACAGGGGTTCTATACAACTTCTACAGGTTTGCGGGGGTTCAGAAGGACTCTGCACGTGTCCCTGCTTCATGCGGGTTCTGGTTTTGGCACGGAGGACGGAACATTCAAGCCAAGATGCCTGGGATTCTGGGGTATTTACATCCTATATAAACTGATGACACCGGGGCTGCAAACCGAAATTACAGCTTATGCTTGAAGCTTTAAGGTTTGCCTGTCGGGAGGTCACCTACCAGAACCCTAAACCCTAAACCCTAAACCCTAAACCCTAAACCCCTAAACCCTAAACCCCTAAACCCTAAATAGAGAGTTCGGCTTCGAGCCTGCGAAGCCCTGAGTTTAGAAAAAGCTCCTCTGAACCGCTACATCCCGCACCCCCAAACCCCTAGAAACCTCGACCTAACGCAAAGGGTTAGGACTATCGCGGGTTTGTGGGTTCAGAGACTAGCTCTCCAGATCATAAACCCTCAACCCTGAACCCTAAACCCTATGAAAAGCGCCCTAAACCCTGCCTGTAGCTACCCTTTTAAGGGTTCCTGATAATGGTTTCTTTACAAAGTTCCTGAAGAAGGTGGGTCTTTTAGGCCACAGGTGGGCCTTGTCATAAACCAAGAACTTGACGGCAGACTCTGGCATCACCTTCAGCACGTTGGCCCCATTCCCCTGCCAGAATGCTCCGGGACCTCCATCGCGCCTGGGATTCTTTTAGGGATCCATAAAGATTCCTTTCAGGCTGCATTATCTTTTTGCGGATCCATCAGGGCTCCTTTAATAAGGGATCTATGTAGGTATGGATTCCTTTAAGGGGTTGTTTGAAGGATTCCTTTCAGGGATCTCTAAGGGTGAAGTAGGGGTTGAGGGCTCTGGGGTTCCGGCCCGAAGCCTCCACACCCTGAGCCCTAAACCCTAATCCCTCCTTCGACGTCTCCACACCCTAAACCCTAAACGACACTCCTTCGAAGCCTCCATACTTAGAGGATCATGGGACTTAGTAACTCGGGTTACAAATAAGGTAACTAGACTGATAATTACTTATAGCCCCAATTAGGGTACTTATAACCTTACTTACTAAGTCCCCTGATCCTCCAGTACCCTAAACCCTGAACCCTCCAAAATGCAGTGGGTGCCGACTTGGGGTCTCCATGCAACGTCGGCACCCCGAAGTACGAGTTGAACCGGCCCCTAGACCCAAAGCGCTAAAGGTGTAGAGTTTAGCATTTAGGGTTTGGGGTTTGGGGTTTAGGGGGTACGCCTTAGGTTTGGGGACTTAGGATTTAGGGTTTAGGGTCCGTTTTCTGTTTTCGAAGGCTGGAATACCGCTACGGCAGAGCCGGCGGACTTGTGAGTGAGCTTCCCATGAACCAACTACAAGAACAGGAGAAGGCCATTAGAATAGGCTTCTGGTGCCCATTATACCATAATTATACTGAATTCCCCCAAAACAAACTAGTATAGGCAACTGTTTAGGCCCCTACAGTAGGCTTCGGGGTTTCCGTTCAGTGCCGACGTGGCACAGTATCGCCTGTGCGGCAGCCCTCAGTTTGGGAGAGGAGGCATCCCAACGGTGTGGGGGCCGTTGCCCGCCGACTTTAGGTGCGTTGCCCGCCTTGCAGGGGTGAAGGTTGCTTCAAGGTTGCAAGGGTTACAGGTTTTACAAGGTTGATAAAGGTGTCGGGAGGGAGTTTTGTGGTTAGCATTGAAGTCTTTTTCAGGCTTCAAATTCATGGTCGGGGGGTGTAGGATTTTAGAGTACGTATAGGCTTTAGGGGTTTAGGGGTGCGGGATGTATATTTTTAGGACCTAGGGCTGTCGGATTTCAGCGTTTGGGGCTTGGGGTTTCAAGCTTCAGGGTTTGGGGGTTGGGGAAGATGCTGCCTGCCTGCATCATGATCTTGATGCGGTCCTTGCGTATGGCGCATGCTCTAGATGCTGGTTCCGGTTTGGGGTTTTGGTTTAAAGGTATTGGGTACATTGTAGTGCCCAAGGTTCAGTGCTACGGGTTGTGTTGTATCAGCAAGCACCGCAGAACATGAGTGCCACTCCGCACGCCCACCCTTCCGACTCAAAGCGACAAATCCAAGAAAGGGTCCCTGAACCCGAAACCCGAAACCCTTAACCCCGAATAAGCCATCAGAGCCGAATCCTGCAAACTTCACACTTAAGCTCTGGATCCGATGCTCGGAATGAGAGCATGGATATGCAGTCCAGCGAGAAAAGATGATTCTAACCAACTACTATAGCATCCCTAGACCCTAAACCCATAAACCCTAAACTAAAGCTTATGTATAAGAAACCGAGCCAAGCATCCAAAGGTGCCGTCAGAGTTCTTGACATGATGCCGGAGAAGGCGCCGGCACAGAAAATCACGGCACCCGACCCTCGTGAGGAAGAGCTCTGGCTGGTAGGGTTTAGCAATTCGAGATTTAAGATGCTAAGGCTTATGATCTAAAACTTCGGGGTGTAGGGGTTTCACGTCCTTCTGGGGTTCGGGATATATATATATATATACATACATATAAATAAAAAAATATATATATATATATATATATATATATATATACGTCGTTTCGGGCGTGGGCGTCGAGGGTGGAACCCTGTTATCTGGAGCTGAATCCCCAGCGCACCGAAGTGGCCGGGCGACCTCTTGGGCATCAGGACGGGGTCTAATGTAGGAGCCTTAATAATTAGAATAGGGTTTAGGGTTTAGGGTTTACTATACTATAAGTATAGCAAGGTGCCCCAAAATAAGATAGGTAGCCATAAGCGCCCCTATCTTAGCTCCCAAAAGTATAGCAAGGGGCCCCCCAAAAAAAGATAGGTAGCCATAACGGCCCCTATATTAGCTCCCGAGCCTCAACACACCCAGGGAGATCGAGGCCTCAGGGCTCCATGTCGGGGCCTTAATAATTAGAATAGAGTTTGGGGATCCATTCTACTATACTTATAATAAGGAACCCCCAGGATACTATAGACTATAGGTAATTATTAAGTATAATAAGGAACCCCCGAAACCCTATTCTAACTATTCAGGCCCTTATATTAGGGATGTTGTGTTCAGGCCTCAGTGTGTGAAACCCGACGCCACCAAGCACACGAATTAAAGGAAGGACAGAATTCTCTCAACCCTTCAGCTGCACAAAGCAGCAAGACACCTACGCCAAATTCCAAAGCAGCACCACAGGTTTTTTCTGGCGGCCCCTAAACCCTGAACCCTTAAACCCAAACCCTAAACCCCTGAACCCTAGGCATGCGCACCTTAACCCAAAGACTCCGACTGTGAAACCGATAAAAGCCCTCGTAGACCCAAGGTCAAAACCCCAGACTTTGACGAAACTCTACAAGCCCCGTAATATGAACTTAGAATAATAATGGTTCTGAGTTTTCTGCATCAGTCTGTCTTTGGAAAACACACAAGAATCAAACAACCTGATGCGCTGCTATCTATAAACCACAATAAGCAGAAAACTCTACAACCCTTAGCAAGCCCCATGAGTGCCACGCGGCTTTGTGCGGGCTCAAGGTCAGGTGGGCTAAAAGCATCTTCGATTTGCAGACCTCACCCGGAGTTGTGAATTGGGAGTTTCCGCAAATAAGGGGTACCTTATTTTGGGGTCCTTACAATAAGGATCCCACTATTTGTGGTACTATATTAAGGTCCCCGATTTTCGGAAACCCCCATTTGGGGCTCATAGCTTTTAGGGCTCAGGGTAGTTTAGACCTCGTCATCTGACAACCCTAAGCCCTAAACCCCGAAGCACTGAACATCTCAAACCGTAGCGGTTGGGCTGAAATTGGAGTTTCGGGGTGGGATGTCGGGACTAGGGCTTGGCTGGGGGCCTCTGTTTCAGGATTTGCGGCTTCAGGCTTGGGTTATAGGATCTAGAGTCTAGACGGTCTCCCCCTAAGGTATAAGCGTGGGTCGAGGGTTCCTCTGTTGTTTGTTCGAGCAGGACTGTAAGTACTCAGCCCCAAAGGCACAAATCAAAGAATTAGGGAATAGTGGGCTGTGTAGGATAATTAACGCATGTTAGCACTTAGTAATTCGGGGGGTTACCTGGTTGTTCGGGACTTCCACCATTGCGGTCAACTGAAGCTAAAACCCGAAATTATCGTCCCAAGCAGGGCGCTTGCGGACTCCTTGCGCTCTAATGCTGCAAACACATCCTTTGTGGCCCGGAACTCTTATCTTTCAACCCCAGATTGAAGCAGAAACTCCAAATCCAGGAATCCCAAACCCGAGCCCCAAACCTACTTGCTGCGCTACCCCTGCCCCAAATCATGCCATCCCCTAACTTCTCCACCAAGCCCACCCAGACCTGTCCCTCCACGGCCGTATCGTCTACATTGAGTTCTGCTGATTCTTGTCGGCCTCGATTTTTTCTGATAGGACCCGCGAAAAGAGCAGTCAAACCCTTCTAAGTTCTAAACACAACCCTACAAAACCCTGCGCAGCTCAACAAAAAGATCATGGGCCCTGGCCTCTAGGCCGTGGAGCCTAAACTGATTACCAACCCCCCCAAACCTTAATTAAGCCTTACACTTTGGAACCCCCCCAAAACCCGCCAAAGCCGGCCTCCTACAGCTTTGGCCAACTCTGCGCTGGTGGTGACCCAGTTCGTGGCTCGGATCTGCCCATTCAAGCGCTTGTCGAACTTCTTACCTCATGCGGGCTTCGGGTCAACTTCAGGCGCCTGCATGGTTAGGGTTTAGGGTTTAGGGTTTAGGGTTTAGGGTTGAGGATTTAGGGTTAGATTGGGGTTTTGGGGGTGTAGTTTCATAGATTATTCTGATAGATTATATAGTGTCATAACTAAAGGAGCCCTGAGGAGCAAGATTGGTAGTCATTCCTGCTCCCATACACGGGCTTAGGCTTTATAGTGTTTAATTTAGGGCATAGGGGCTTCAGGGTTGGGGTATGGGGTCTAGGGTATCTTACGTCGTTACTATATGGGGCACCAGGGGGCTGGGATTCGGAAGCTATGTGTGGTCTAGGGGTACCTACGGGTCTCTGTTAGTAGACGTTCCCAAACCACGCACCCCGACACATGAGGTGGGGGAGGGTATAACTTGTCAAGTGTCCTTCTGACCCCCAAACCCTACGGCGCAAAGAAACTACCCAACCACCTGAATGTGCTTATTGTTAACCTCGTCTGGCTTCATGTGATGGATGGCACCAATGGTGATCCAAATGGGAGGCCAAACCCTAAACCTGAACACTCAAGCTTAACGCCCCCCAAACCTAAAGCCCAAAACCATTTCACGGCAACAGTCCTGAAGTCGAAGCCTAGACAGAAGACACAAGCCCGAATATGCTTTGGATATACTGGTGACACAAGTTCAGGCTTGCTTTAGGGTTTACCCATAGGCCCCATAGTAGTTCCTTTTTGGGTTCATATTTGGAATCCTATAAGGTAATCCCAAAAAGAAACTACTATGGGGCCCATGAGTAGGCCACCCAAACGAAATACAGCACATCTCACTGGACAATGACGGACAGGCCGGGGAGCTGATCTTGTCCAAAGCCTGTGGATGTTCTTCCGTGGTAGGGTTTAGGGTTTAGGGTTTAGGGTTTGGGGTTTAGGGTTTAGGGTTTAGGCTTTAGGGTTTAGGGTTTAGGGTAGGTAAGGTGTTTAAGAAGCCTAAACCCAAAGGCCCTGAGGCCCTACGCCCTAAACCCCAACCCTGAAGTCGCAACAGCCCTAACAATCGTCCTATACAGCAGCTTATCCTTGGCAGTCCTGGCGGTTGATAACCGCGTACTTCGGATCGCGATTCAGTGCCTCACCCGCTGCAAGGTTCGCCGACACTTTGGCAAGCTCCCTGGGCACGGTTTAGGGCCGAGTTCAACGGTCTAGGGGATTAGATTAGGGTATAGGTATCGGGACTTAGGGATTCATGGCAGGCTTTAAAGCCTTGCACCATCTTCTACCACAAAGCCGCTAACCCCTGGCAACCCTAATTGTCCTTGAGCCTCTTACTCTCTCAAGCCCACGCGCGAATTCCTAAACCCAAAAAAAAACACAAACCCTCGGCGACGATAAAGTGGTGAAGCTCGAACTCGGCTCTGGCTCTAAACCCTAAACCCTAAACCTTAAACCCTGAACCCTGAACCCTGAACCCTAAACCCTAAACCCTAAACCCTAAACCCTAAACCCTAAACCCTACATGGCCTGTCAAAGAGCTTCTGGAAATCATCTTCTGTGCAGCCGGCCCTCGGAAATGACTGTGGGAGGGTCGGTTTTGAGGAGGGCGACTTTGGAGCTGTAGAGCTTTAGGCTTTAGGGTTAAGGGATTAGGGTTTAGGGATTACGGATCAGCTTAGGGTTTAGGGATTAGGGTTTAGGGTTTAGGGATTAGGGCTTAGGGATTAGGGTTCTATCAAGCCTGATATAAAGCCTCGAGTTTTTGCGGCTTGCTCTCTCTCTCTCTCTCCCATTTGTACCCAAAGCAGCTTGACTCGTAATCAAGCATTATATGATTACATGTACTGCACAATACACATGAACCTTCACCTATGCCGGACAGAGTGGCCAGGGAGCCCTTCTGAACAAAGTGGCTAAAAACTCACTGTACGCAATTACGGCCTTAGGGTTCGTGCTATGGTTCTTGTGTCAGGGTAGTAGGGGTCACGGTGAAGGACTTGAGAGCTGCGCCTTTCGGGCGCTGATTATTTGTACAACGGTTCCACTTGAGTAGAAATGTGTTGTAGTGACGTAAGATCAAAGAACATTTTCCTGGGCTCTTGATACAAAACATACTTCGAGTTACCACAATGAGTAAACCATGGTGTGTACGATGCATTCCTATTCCGTATTCCGGTAGACAACGATCGTAAAGACTGCTAAACCTTATAATCCCGAAACCCTGAACCGGACAAACCCTAAACCCGAAACTAACAATCCCCAACCCTAAACCCTCAACCCCCAACCATCTCAAAGGAGCTTAATGAGCTGCTTCAGCGCATTGTAATCCACATAGTCGCCCCCGGTGCAAGGAGGAGAGCTGGATTCGCACTGGCGGATGTGTGCCAGGAGCTCCCTTCCGAACTTCATTGAACCATAAAGCGCTGACCGGATTAGGGTTTAGGGTGCAGGGGCTAGGGCGACGAGGGAGTAGACGACGGTAAGAGTCAGACGAAGGCTTTTGACTCCATGTGAACCGGAATCCGGAAGCTCACTCTGCAATGTGTCCTGACGGACTGAACCCGAGTCGATTGGCAGACTTTTCGCCACAGGAAGCATTTTTGATGAATCTGCTTCAGGCTTTCTGTCTCCGACCGGGAAGGCTTTATCTGGTGCTTCCTTCTATCGCAAGGCTCTATTGAATTCTTGATGCACGCAGCGCTGCCAAAAACAAACAAGCGATGCAACTGTGCAGCTCAGCCCTAAACCCTAAACCCTAAACCCTACAGCCTCAACCTTTAACTCTAAAGCCCCAAACCCTGATAAAGGCGACAAGTGCTTCAGCGCTACACTCAGGCCCACTTCACTGCGGCTCATGCCTGCATGGTTTAGGGTTTAGGGTTTTGGGTTGGACCAAAGTCTTGGTGTTCAGTTCGGTTTACGGCATAACTACGATATAGTGTCCCATGTCGCAGTTGCAACTCCAGTGTCTGGCGCTGAATACTGCGTGAAAGAGGCCGGACCTCACCGTACACACACACACACACACAAACACCAATGCCTCATTTCCCAACTCCACGCATTTGCAACGAAGGCTCAACCGGACTAGTTCAGCGCCACAACTCAGCCCCCAACGACCTACTACCACCTACACAACCTACCTCCTGCTGTGACCCCACACAAGACAGAGTTGTGCTCCAGGTAGGGATTGGGATATCCAGACGTGACTAAACTGGCCAGGAGAGCCCAGGTTTATATGAGTTTTGCTTCATAGGGTTTCCGGGTTTAAGGGTATAGGGTGGTCGGATCTAGTCTTTTCAAGTCTGATGGCGTGCCCAGTGTATGGAACCTGGGGCAGAGACACACTGCAGTACGGCTTCTTCTCGACGTGGTGATGTGAGTGGACTTAGGGAACGGGATTTCTGAGCTTTTGAATGAACCGATGGGTACGGGGCAGCTTTACTGATACCCTAGACTAGACCCTAGGTAAACAAATTCATGTTCGATGTTTCGCAGAGACCATATAAACCCTAAACCCTAAACCCTAAACCCTAAACTAAACCCTAAACCCTAAACCCTAAATCCTAAACCCTAAACTAAACCCCAAACCCTAAACCCTAAACCCTACACAATACTACGTTTCACGTTCCATCGGCCGGGGGCCCCCGCAAGACTCCGTTCTGTGAAGCAGAAGGGTTCTGGGCTTTGCTCTTGAACTCTCAACTTAGGGGCTGAGTATCCGAGCCCCAAAAAAGGCTAAACACTTATGTAAGCTCCAAAAGGCCCGAAAGGTTAAGCACATGAGTTCTGGTAGGATTCTGTAAGGCCCAAAAGGCCCAAAAGGTTAAACACGCATGAATTCTGGTAATAGGATTATATCAGCCCCAAAAGGCCCACCAGGTTAAAGGTTACCTATACTCAGTCCCTCAGTCAGTGTGTCGACCTCTCATGATGCGACATTGCCAGACATTGCCAGATCCCTCGGGCTAAGGTTAGGGTTTAGAGTTTAGGGTTTAGGGTTTAGGGTTTAGGGCCAAAACTGTATATCAACTGAAGTGGAAGGGCACGGCAGTGAATCCTGCCGTCCAGCTTCGAAACCCCATATCCAGACATCGACACCAAGCCATCATGCCACAGAAATCACAAAAAAGCTGGTGATATAGCCCTCTGATACTGTGGCACCTACTATGGGATAACGGTCAGACTACGACGAACAATCCGGAATCTCCACTGCATAAGGCACACTCGTCTAGGCCCGTGTAATGATAGAAGCACGTTCTGCCATGGGAGGGGCACATCTGACATCTTTTTGGATGTTTGCAAGCAAACTCTGAATCAGGCTGTCGCGCATCAGTGCGCATCTTTGCAGCCGCCACACAGTACTCCATTAACATGATGACTTTCTACTTGGCTTCGGGTCTGGGGGTTTATGCTATTCATTTACATGTTATTAGCACTACTTCGATCTTGTAACCTGATGGAGTCTACCTCTTGCCTGTGCACCTCGGGTGATCCTGTGGGTTTAGGGTTTAGGTTTAGGGTTCGGTGCATGTTTGGAAGTACTACGACACCTTGCGCCTGCCTAGTGGGCATACTCTTCGACTGTCAGCGCTACAGCGATTGTGGCTACACACCGATACCGATACCCTAAACTCTAACCCCTAAACCATGTACGAAAGGAACCACAAGGAACAATTTGGCGTTCACTGGGGCATCTTTATGATTTATTCGACGACTTCCTGAGATATCATGAGACTTCAAGTCGCATCACAGAGACTGCCTTCAGGGCTGAGTACTTGGAGGGTTTAGGGTTTTAGGGTTTAGGGTCGTAGGTAAGAAATCGGGTTATAAGCACCCCACAGGGAGCCCCAATTGGGGTTAATATCCCACTTCTGACCCTGCTGTTTAAAGACTCACAAAGTCCCCCCGACCCTTCAAGCAAGGTTTCGGGTCTTGCCCTATCCTAAGGGTCCATGTACCCAAATAGTAGAACCTTGGCCTTAATGTAGTCCCTATTTGGNNGGGCTTATGTTCTACTATTTGGGTCCATGGACCCTTAGGGCTATCTACCGTCCGTCTACGAGACATCACACACCTGCAGGCTCCGCAACCTCAGCTCAAAGGGAAGAAGGCGCAGCTCTTGGACCCTTCCTGGACCCCAAATAACCTACATTTTTAGGGTTCCTTATTATGATTTCTTTATATAAGTCCCTAAAAAGGTAGGTTATTAGGGGTTAAGGTTGGAGTTGTATCATGCCTACTTTTGGGGGATCTGTGCTAGAGGGCCCTAGGGCTTATACATCTTGAATAGGCAGGCGATGCCGGACTCCAGCACTCAAAATGCGCAACGAACCCTACGACCCTACGTACCCTTAAGTCCCTGAGCTCCGAGCTGAGCACACAAACCAACCCAGACCCAGCCCTGGACATTCCTGAACCTTACCAGCCCACCTTGCTAAACTCCCAACCTTACAGCAGTCGCAACCCTGAAGCCAGACGAGGAGGACGACGACGGCGCCGAGAACGACGACCAGGGCCACCGCCACAGCTGCTACCACTGCGGCTTCTACTCCTACCGCGAGATACTTCGACGAACAACTTACCTCTCGTTCTAGTGCCAGTACTGCTGGGCGTATGATGCAAAGGCAAAGGCGTAACTACACATTAGGAAAACAGTTGTACTTTAAGTCTGTTCTGGATGTCAGAGTGTTCCATGATCAATGTCATTCTGACGGTGCTTGCTGGAAGAACCTGGAGCACAGTAATTCTCAGAACACACATGCCCACATTGCCCTCTGCCCCCAAGGCAATTCTTAACCGTTAACACGACTATACTTAAACCCGACACTTCACCGCAAGCCATCAGCTGCACAAACCCAACATTTGACAACCGGCACTATGCTAGCTCAGAGTTTAATGAGTTTAAAGCGCCCACTCACAGCCTATGGCCCAACCCACTAAGGGTCCACGTGCATACGTAGTACAAACTTAGGTCCCTACCTTGAAAGGAACCTCTTGCAGGCCAAAGTAAGAACTACCTTATACTATACTATGACATACTATACTATGCGATTTGTCACACTTTGCTCTATAGGCACATGGACCGTTCAACAGTAACCCTAAAACCATAAACCCTCTGCGTACCCGAAATTAGGAGCTGTCTGTAAGCCCCCCGGCAGCTGGCCATCGCAGCTATCCTGTCCCAGGGGAGGGCCACCGCCAGCGCCAGCACCTCCATAGCAGGCTTAGTTTGGGATTTAGGTAAGGACTTAGGATGCTCGCTCTGCAATAAGGTTTAGGCTTTGGCGCTTAGCGTCAAAGTCCGAAGGAAAGTCAAGTCACGTGGATCTGAATTTGTACGGTTTCAAGAGGCTTGAGGCTACGGGGTGTGGATAAGAAGTATGGCTACAGTACAACAAGAACTGCTTCTGCCAAACCCGTAAACCCCAAACCCTCCACGCCTACGCACTTATTGTTTGAAGTGCGGTGCCGCACTTCCTGCGTGTCGGGTCTTGGCATTTCAGTGTTTATGTAGGAGTTCAGGCTTGATGAGCCTTCGAGTAGATTGGAAGCATGTAGTAGTGAAGCAGGCGCGCTACAAGAAAGCCTAGGACAGGACAAGGCCCGAATAGATGTCGTGCTGTAGCTGAGGACCATCGTACATGTCAACATCTTCCTCAGGTTTCGCCTCCGTAGCCATTGCCACCATAGCCACCGTTGCCTCCGTAGCCACCATTGCCTCTGCAGACAGCAATCGATGAATGCGTGGCGGCGATGCAGAAGACTATACAACATGTCATAACCTCGGCACAGAGCTGCACAACCAGCAGTCACCAAGCGTGCAGAATTTCTGTCGTAACATTTGCTATCACATCTATCACAGGAAACAACATCATAATGTCACCATCATCTTTACCATCGTCTTTATGACTTTATGATCAGACCGTCAGCGTCCGTGGTCCTCTTCCTCTGCTGCCCCGTCGTCCTCACTATCACCAACCGGCTACTCCGTCGTTGTCGTCATCGTGTCCACCGATATCCGTTATCGTCATGACAATCACAGGCAATGTCGACGTCTGCATCCATGTCATCGCCAGCATAGCAATCATCATGCTCAGCTGAAACATCATCGCCGATGGAAAAACATCTTCACAATAGTTAGTGCCAACATCAGGACGACGCCACAACTTGACGTCACCCCTACCAGACTGACTTTCAGGACTCAAATGCCGACCATCTGTGCTGTCCTCGGCTTCGGTATCACCATACTCGCCTTCATCACGTGAACACAGACTCGTTCATGGGCAGTAAACAAAGTCGTCGTAGTAGTAGTAACAGTAGCAATAGCAGTAGCAGTAGCAGTAGCAGTAGCAGTAGCAGTAGCAGTAGCAGTGGGAATAGTAGTAGTAGTAGTAGTAGTAGTAGTAGTA